TTAAGGTGGATTGGCTATAGAATGTGATTGCTTTTATCTACAGATAACCTTTAGGCATTGTAAAATAGACACAGAAATGATTAATCTTATATGGTAACTCCTTTCTGACAGTTCCTTTATGGTGGGCTATTAGAGGGACTGTGTCCAGTCCTATGAATGTATATTAAAATTTATATTTCGTAACCGTGAGTCTTCCCCCACCAGAGTCGGCTTTCCACACCCGTAATGATGAGCATGGATGAGTTAGCTGCATTACATTCTCATCGAATCCCTCAGTTTACCACAAACAAGCAATTAGATTTGTCTTTGTTCACATAGATTATGAAGCTATATATTTTTCTTCTTTTCTTTAAATTTAAACCTAAAGGTTATAAATACTGATGGTTCTGGAAGAAGAGTACTCGTGGAAGACAAAATTCCTCACATATTTGGGTTTACTTTATTGGGTGACTATGTTTACTGGACTGACTGGCAGAGGCGGAGCATTGAAAGAGTTCACAAACGGAGTGCAGAAAGGGAAATCATCATAGATCAGCTGCCTGACCTAATGGGCCTAAAGGCCACAAACGTTCATCGAATCATTGGTAAGTAATTCTAGAACTCCCTTAGAGATGGAAGCCAGGTATGAGAAAAGATAGAGATGGTAGTTTAGAAAATCAGTGTTATAAATTATTAAGTAACGAATACGTTTAGGAACTTTCTGAAGCTCCCATAAGGTAAAGCCTCATTCCTCCACCCCCCAAAATTGGGTCAGCATGGAGATTATTTGTTAACCTTTTAAAAGGATCGGTCTTTTAAACATTAGCTGAGTATTCAGGGTACACGGTTTCAATTGAAGGATTGAATAAACACATACATGCATACTTTTTTCTTTCATGATAAAGTCAATTTATTCATTGTTTTTCATACTGCGTGGGCCACTTCATTTTTACCCGTGACACCTTTTTAAAAAAAATCATTTTATTGGGATCTCTTAAAGATACCGTAACATTCCATAGTTCAATTACATCAAGTAGTATTGTACAATTGCTACCAGTTAATTTCAAACATTTTCTTTCTTCTTGAACTCCTTGATATCTGCTACCTTTTATCCCTTCACCCCCTCCCCAGAAACCCTTATTTTTTTGCTATATCTTACGCTATCCAGTATATCCATTTACATACAATTCTGTTGTTCGCTCGCATCACTTTCTTTATCAAAATAATTAAAATCTTATATGAGTAATATAATTTATTTAAAGCTTATGAGTATAAAAGGAAAGTATTTTACCATTGTTTAATTTCCTGCTGTTTTAATTCCCGAAATTGGAACTGAGATCTAGATTTCGGAACAAGCAGGCATGATCATACATCTCTGTGAACCAAATGCTTAGGTGTTTTAAAGTGAAAATGTATCGATTGTGTCCGTGTTTGTGTCTTCTTGTGCCCATTTATAATTAATCCGTCTTTTAGGTTCCAACCCCTGTGCTGAGGAAAATGGGGGGTGTAGCCATCTTTGCCTCTATAGACCTCAGGGCCTGCGCTGTGCCTGCCCTATTGGCTTTGAACTCATCAGTGACATGAAGACCTGTATTGTCCCAGAGGCTTTCCTTTTGTTTTCTCGGAGAGCAGATATCAGGCGCATTTCTTTGGAAACTAACAACAATAATGTGGCCATCCCACTCACTGGTGTCAAGGAAGCATCCGCTTTGGATTTTGATGTGACAGACAACCGAATTTACTGGACTGATATATCACTCAAGGTTAGAAAAGGAATTGGAGCATTGAAACTGGGGCATTAAGTTTCTAAAGGCATAGCCTTCTCTTACCTTTTTCAATTAAACTTTAACATTTTTTGTCATTAACTGAGTAAGCTATTGTGTGTTCTGCATAAATAACTTACAGAGATTTATTCCTTAATCAATTTTAAATGAAATTTTGAGCCTGATTTGAGGTAGAAAAATGTTATAAACTATCAAAGCATCTGCTTTTCAGTCAATTCAGATTCAAAGTGATATCATAGGACAGAGTAGACCCAAGGGTTACTAAGGCTGTACACTTTTCTGGAAGCAAGCTACCACATCTTTCTCCTTAGGAGAGGCTGGTAGATTTCGGTTAGCAGCTGACTTTTTTATCTACCCTGCCTCCAGGGCTCTATAACATACCTCTGTTTTCTTTTACTTAATGTAAATGTTGAAAATCACAGTGAAGTTCTATAGGAGAGAGGAAACTCCTAGCCAGAAAATCTAGAGAATTACTGCTTCTTTCAGAATGTTCTAGGCTTACTTAAATAACTTTTATAGACTAGTATCTAATGTAATGCATTAGAACATGAGACTTTTAAGTCAACTTTGAACTCTAATGATGTTCAGTAACATTTATTAAATAAACAAATGAAATAAATATTTTGCTGTATACCCTTCAGAATTCCTTTATCTTGAAAACAGCAATGCCTATTTTGTAGGATAGTACCAATGATTTGGCTTTACTTTTATCTTCAAGAAGTTGATGAAACAGAGCCTCTAACCGTCCGCTCACACCTTTGTTACTTGATTGCTAATTTTGATCACAAAAGTCATTCCACTGTCATTAGAATAAATTCTAGACTCTTAAGGGGTTTCCTATTTGTTTCCTGAATTGGCAATAAAATTGAGGCTGTAGTTGCATTTATTAGAGCTAGATAAAAGTTATCTCTCTCCTCATGCATTTTGTTAGGCAGCATAATTCTTTCACCGTTTTCTCCAGCCTCCACAAAACCAAACCCAAACTGCTTTGTGGATAGCCGTTTTATGTTTAAATAATGTAAGTTAGCTCATCTCTTGTGTTGCTTTTCTTTTTTACAGACCATCAGCAGAGCCTTTATGAACGGCAGTGCACTGGAACATGTGGTAGAATTTGGCTTAGATTATCCAGAAGGTATGGCAGTAGACTGGCTTGGGAAGAATTTGTACTGGGCAGACACAGGAACAAATCGAATTGAAGTGTCAAAGTTGGATGGACAGCACCGACAAGTTTTGGTGTGGAAAGACCTAGATAGCCCCAGAGCTCTTGCGTTGGACCCTGCTGAAGGGTAAACACTTTCATGTTTTCTTTTTTGAAATACATTGTATATTTGGGGAACATGACCCCGTTAAAAAAATGATCTTCTTGGACCTTCAATAGTGCTTATTAGGATTCTGACATCTAAACCATAGGCTTTATTGAAACCATTAGGAATTTCACTGATTTTAGAATTATCATTAGCTGTTTTACTTTGCCATTCACATTGGGGTGAAGCCTTCCTGACACGATTGCTGAAGACAAATGTGTGCATAAGCAAATGTGAAGAAAGCTGATGATGCCCAGCTATCAAAAGATATAGCGTCTGGGGTATTCAAGGCTTGAAGATAAACAAGCGGCCATCCACCTGAGAAGCAACAAAGCACACATGGAAGAAGCACACCAGCCTGTGTGATCATGGGGTGTAGAAGGGATGAGGTATCTGGCATCTAAGACCCAGAACAAAATCATACCCAATGTGAATTGGGAGCGGGGGAGGCGTGCATGGAATGGAGATCCAATGCACATCTGTAGACAATTGGACATCCCCTCACAGAAGGGTCACAAGGAAGAGATGACCCAGTCAGGGTGCAGTATAGCACTGATGAAACACACAACTTTCCTCTAGTTCCTTAATGCTTCCTTTCCCCCACTATAATGGCCTCAATTCTACCTTACAAATCGGATTAGACCAGAGCACTGCTACAGATAAGAGCCCGCAACATGGAATCCAGGATAGACAAACCCTTCAGGGTCAACAATGAGAGTAGAGATGCCAGGAGAATGGGGGGAAGGTAGGGGAGAAAGCGGGAATCGATCACGAGGATCAGCATATAGCCCCCTCCCAGGCGGCTAAACAACAGAAAAGTGGGTGAAGGGTGACAGAGGATGATATAAGATATGAAAATAATAATCTATAACTTACCAAGGTTTCATGACAGAGGGAGGGGGAAATGAGGAGCTGATATCAAGGGCTCAAGTAGAAAGAAGATGCTTTGAAAATGGTGATGACAGCATTTGTACAAATGTGCTTGAGACAATGGATGATTGTGTGGATTGTGATAAGAGATGTAAAAGCCCCCAATAAAAGATTTTAATTAAAAAACTCCAAAAACATTGGGGTAAAGAAAGATTAGCAAAGTGGATAATTAAAGATTACTAATGAAATACTAAGTAAATTTTTTTTTTAAAGCCATTATCCAGTGGAAATTTACATGCGCTCCCTCTCCAGTTAAACACATTCCAAACCTTTTAAACTCGTTGCCATCAAGTTGATTCTAACTCTTAGTGACCCTATAGGACAGAGTAGAATTGCCCTTGTGGGTCTCTGAGACTAACTCTTTACAGGAGTAGCAAGCCTCATCTTTCTCCTGAGGAGTGGCTGGTGGTTCCAACCCCTGTCCTTGCAGTTAGCAGACCAACATGTATGCCAGGGCAGTAAGACTTCGTCTTACATATTTGTATATACATACTGTCAAGAGAGACCAATCCCTGGAAAAGGATAGCATGCTTGGTAAATAGAGGGGCAGTAAAAACGTGGAAAGCCCTGGACAAGATGGACTGATACAATGGCTCTAACTGGAGGCTCAAACCTAAGAACAATTGTGAGGTTGACGCAGGACTAGGCGGTGTTTGGTTGTGTTGTACATAGGGTGGTCATCACTTAGAATTGACTCAATGGTACTTAATGAAAACAGCATTTTAGTAAACCACAACAGCAGTGTTGTGTGCTGAGAAATAACTGCATGAAAGTTCCGTTTTATAATGTGAGTTCAAAGTGGGCAGCTTTTGTCAGATTATTATTTTTAAACTTGGACAAAATGTGATATTATAAGATAAAATATTAGCAAATATACATTTTAAAGGGTAGATGAGTCTTACAGAATTCAACAAATTTTAAAAAGCTGGCATCTCAAATTTGAAGAAAATATTCATTTAAAAGCAAAAGCTTATAGCATGAACATATAAACATTCATCATATCTATAATTTAAAAATATACCTGAAATCACATTTGTTCCATGAACAGCTAGTTACTTATCAAGTTAAAATGCTGCATCAAATTCACCTTTTCTGAACTAACTTGCTGAGTTGGGATGAAGGTGATCTTGGCTATAAGCAGTAGTTGCCAGACAGACACATGTATAGTTAGAGCTAAGAATCTAGTATAGGTCACTGCTGGCAATGTGTTATTTCTTTCACAAGTGTTTCTCAGTAGCCTTTGTGCTGTACACATGGCTGTCAGCTGACAAGTATAAATGCAAACAAAGCTTGAGATGTTAAAGCATGTTCATGAATTGTTACCAAGCCAGCCGTAAGTTGGCAGGCTGATGATTGAATGACTATCTGTCCTTAGGTGTTTGTTGCAGGCTGGTATGTGGAGGAGCTTTCCCAAACCCAGTATGCAATGTCTCTAAACTAGTGGCTTACACGTTTTGTGGAAAGGCCATCTGACTGTGGATTTTGTTCTAGAACTATGACATTCAACAAGTCACTCACATTTATTTTAGTGTTTTGAGCTCATCTGTAAAAATCCTGTGTTATGAGGCTGCTCTAAGGTTAGAGTCAAGAACTTGAAATAGTAAAATATGTAAAAGCTAAAGAATATGCTATCATTTCACAAGGATTGTACTAATAGTACGTGCTGCCCGGTTGACATACTCTGGTGATTATCTGCTCTTAATCAGAGCATGCTCCATTCGACCAGGGAACCAAATATATTTTAGTAGCAGGAACTTTGCTTTTAACTTCAGTTAAAGACCCACTGTATATTTTACCTTTGATGTATTCCTGCACCTTGTTTATAGAGAGAGTTTGATTACATAAATTGAAAAGTAAGTTCAATTTAAAAGCTCAAATTATTTGTATTGAGAATAAAGTTATGTTTTTCAGAAGTAAGCCAGTTTCTGAGGTCCATTGCTTGCTTGCTTAAATATTAGTTTTATAAATGCAAGTGCTGCAATATGGAAATCATTGGTTTGTTTCCAGTTCCTGGGGTTTAGAAGGAACAAACTCACTGGAAAGACTAAGGAAAGCTGACTCACTTCCTTTTTGGGATATAAGAAAAAATATTTTGTTGAGGGTGCCAAAATAATTGGAGAAGTGTAAGCAAGATTTTGTTTTACCCATTTCCTTGACTTAGAAATTATTTTCTTTGAATATACTTTGTTATTATACATGATAATTACCTTTCCTCCGACTTATCAAAAGTGAAATGTTACTTATTTTTTGTTTAAATTTAGATTTATGTATTGGACTGAATGGGGTGGAAAACCTAAGATAGACAGAGCTTCTATGGATGGAAGTGAACGCACTACATTAGTTCCAAATGTGGGGCGAGCAAATGGCCTAACAATTGATTATACTAAAAGAAGGCTCTATTGGACAGACCTGGATACCAACTTAATAGAATCTTCAAATATGCTTGGTAAGCTGTATACTTCTTTTTATTGAATCACATGGTATGTTTTTCTTTTTATGTAAAAATTAGTGACTCTTATTTTTACCATTGCTTAGATACTATTAATAATAACTTCATGTGAAAACCTCAGATTCTTCCCTTGTCAGGGAATTATATCCTGTGTTGTTGATGTTCTTATTTATAATGGGCCAGGTACTTGGATTAACATCTCTTTATTATGTGATGATTTTGTTTGTTGGTAGGAAATTTATAACTCCCTAGTTGATTCATGAAGTGACTTTATACTAATTAAAATATATATACTTCTGTCTTTTGATAGAAGGAAGAAGAAAAGTTGAAAATGTAGACCCCTGTGTAGAGACTAAAACATAATCAGAATAGATTATTTGCAGGAATTTAAATGACCTCAATGATTTAAAAATCAGACAACAGAAGGATTGATTTCAGAAGACAGGTCTGGTTTTAGAGTTACTTTTAAATGAATTGTTGTCTTTGCAAAGTTGCTTGCATACGTAATGTTTCGCATGTTTAAACCTGTTTTCTTGTTTTGTTTTTGCCAGTAAGACACTAGCGTTCTCACCATATTTCATCCCTCTTGTTTCTCCCCCGTCTATTGCTTTTCCAAAAATAGGACTCAACCGTGAAGTTATAGCAGATGATTTGCCTCATCCATTTGGCTTAACTCAGTACCAGGATTACATCTACTGGACGGACTGGAGCCGACGCAGCATCGAGCGTGCCAACAAAACTAGTGGCCAAAACCGCACCGTCATTCAGGGCCATTTGGATTATGTGATGGACATCCTTGTCTTTCACTCCTCTCGGCAGGCAGGATGGAATGAGTGTGCCTCCAGCAATGGGCACTGCTCCCATCTCTGCTTGGCAGTCCCAGTTGGAGGTTTTGTTTGTGGATGTCCAGCCCACTACTCTCTTAATACTGACAACAGAACTTGCAGTGGTAAGTTCCATGTCCCACAAAGCAAACTAATTAGAAGAGAAAGCAGTATTTTATACACCATGTAGTTAGTTATCTTTCTAGATTAAAAAGTAGAAGTTCAGAATTATTTTGATTAGCAAAAGGAGAGGGATAAGTAAAGGGAGAGAAATGCACATTTTTGTTACTTACTAATTGTTTTTGTTTACTTGACGACTGAACAGTTCAATAAAATTTACGTAGCTTCAATGAGGGAGACTGTATACAGGTGTCTTCTGTGCATGGTAATCTATAATTTTAAAAAAGGGAATCCCCACGTGACTCCATTGGGCTAAGGAGCCTGACCTTCTTATCTTTCAATGTGCATAGAATAAGGCAGAAGTAAAAAATGTAAATGTGTAATAGTCTAGGCTGAAAATGTATAGGAGAAAAATTAGCCCAATGTAAAATAGTAGTTAATAGAGGGAAGAACTAGAGAGCATATGCTCTGAACGTAGTGGCCGGCTGCTGCTTAGTTCTAGCTAATATTAACAGAGCTGTCCAACCCATCATGAATCCAGAAATTTTTTGTTTTGGCTTCAAAACCTGCTGCTTTTTAAGTGCTGGCAAATAATTTACATTAAAAATAATAAAAATCACTGTACTCGCACCATTAAAAATTTTAAAAAACACTTTGGACTCAGGGAAACCTAATTTCTTACTTTTAAGAGTAAATTGATCAATGTGTAAATATCTAAATATAGGTAGGCATCATACATAGATAAAAATATCTACATATAGATAGATGTTAGATATTAGATCCAAAAGAGTAAGTTCATGGCAAGAAGTATGGTGTGGTGCAGTAAGTGATAAATTTAACAAAAAAATAGAGATGAGATCAGAAAGAGTAGATCATGGCAGAGAAATACAGTGTGCTGCAGTAGGGCAAAAGTAAAAGTACATCTTGAAGTCAGTGCAGAATTTTTTTTAGTGAAAATGTAAAATGATTTCTGAAGAGAATTCGACTAATATTAGCATCTAGCCTAATACTTAACATATATTAGGAATTCACTAAATAGTACCTATTTCCAATTCTTACAATTTTTGCCTTTTCCACCTTCCCATGATTATGTGTACCCAAATCAAACTCACTGCCATCTAGTCAATTCTAACTGACAATACTGGAGGACAGAGTAGACCTGCCCTCTCCCTCGCCACCTCCCATAGAAAAAACTAGGTCTTTCTCCCGAAGAGCATCTGGTGGTTTCAAACTGCTGACCTTGCATTTAGCAGCCCAACACATAACTGCTACACCACCAGGGCTCCCACTAATGCCAATAGACATTAGTAATTTTACTTTTTATAATGCCTTATAGTTTTTACAGAAACCGATTTAGGGAAGGGACAAGACAGACAAAACCTTTATTTAGCAGTTGGTTAAACTCTGACTTGGTTAAGATAAACTATGTAGAGAGCTAAAACTTATCTTGAAGTTTGTTTTGACCCTTGAAACCAGTCTTCCTTTCACCTAACATAGAAGGTGAAACAGTTGAAGGAAGTACAGGATATCCATTTGGTACATTAAAGAGAATTCTATGTAGCTTCATCTATTGCCTCACCACCTTGGTTACTTAGCGCTGTTGTAGCATAAATACCACAGTAGTTATTTTAAACGATAGATATTAATGTTTCTTAAATACTAAAGCCTGAAGCCAAACCCGATTTCAGCTATGTTGATTTCTCCCTTGTTAATAGCCCTTGGTTTTCTTTGTCTTTGAAATTCTTGACTTGCTTTCTATGTTTGTGTTTGTTCTAGTATTTTTATGACTGAAGTGATTAGGTTTAGGGTGCACCCTATATTTATTAACACAACCAAACCCCAATTTTAAGCAGGGTTAAGTCAACACGTATTTTTGAGGACATAATTCAATCCTTCACATGCACTGAATCTTTGTAGAGCGAGATGGAAGAAAAATAGGTTGCGAGTTACAAATTTATAGCATGTTTGATTATGAGAGTGCTGCTTGGTTCATTCCGAGTTTTGAGGGGCTTCTGTTGTCAGCCTTCGCTCTTTTTACGTCTATTTCATGTGAGAGAACACTGACTTTTCAAATCTGTGGGAGATAAAGGACTTGGAGTAGCTATTACAGTTTCTGTGTTTTTGTTTTGTTCCTTTAAGCTCCTACCACTTTCCTGCTCTTCAGTCAAAAGAGTGCCATCAACCGGATGGTGATTGATGAACAACAGAGTCCTGACATCATCCTTCCTATCCATAGCCTTCGAAATGTCCGGGCCATTGACTATGACCCACTGGATAAGCAACTCTATTGGATTGACTCACGACAAAACATGATCAGAAAAGCCCAAGAAGATGGCAGCCAGGTAATTCAGAGCTCATTTTAAAATATACTTCTTGTAACTGAACTAACCAACTGCTTGATTTCACTTGACTCTCTGCTTATGTGTATTTTTGTGTCCAAACTGAAATAATATTTGACATGGTAACTTTTTCCCTCCTAATGATTTTTGGAGAAATACTTGTTAGATTTATATACACACACACACACACACACACACACACACACACACACACACACACACATATATACACACACATATATAAATGATATTAACAAAGCTGACGATCATACTATTGCTAATGGTTTTTTCGCTGTCACCCTCTTTCATTTATGATTTTTCATAATGCCACTATTTATGTAGCATGTTGGAAGCACTGAAACCAAATAATTGTTTTTAATCCCAGATCAATAGAATTCTTTTTTTCTTTCAAATAGGTTTCTTATGAATACTTCATCTGAAATGAATGTAAAGCACATGGACCAATAACTGTTAAATAGACAGGGCAACAAATAGTATTACTCCTTAATTATTATTTTGAAGATTCAGTAAATTAAGAAACAAAATCCCATTAAAATTAGAAACGCTTAAAATATGTTACCATTGATTCAGTAAATTAAAAAAATAAAACTATTTGATAACTATGGAAAGAACCATATTATTAATTTTATCTATGCTTAAAATACCAGTCATGGCTCTGCATTCCATTCTTTTTTGCTTTCTTTCTGTGGTCAAGCAGTGTTGACTGGGATTACTATAAATAATTGTTGTCTTCTTTGTAACAGTGATGTTAAGTAGGATTCTGAACATAATAAGCTCTAAGGAAATTGGGTTAGTATGTATTTTCTTTTTCCCCCCTTCTATTTCTTATCACAGGATAGAGCAAGAAATTAAAGTATTGAAGTTGTTAAAGATATGTGATGTAGTCACAGAGGTATATTGTGAATGCACCACACAATATATAAGCCAGGGTTCTGGGACAAATAACAGGATACAGACAGTAGTTGGAAATTTATAGCGGCTATTTTATAACCAAGAACATTAGAAACAAATTAAGTAACTTCAGTAGGAATATGTGGCCTCAGAGCTGGCAAGTAAATGACCTGTATTATTATTCAGCTAGAACAGATGGACAAAGCCTCTTTTTCATTTGGCTTTATAAGCCCTCCCCCCTTTTTTAAAAATCATTTTGAGCACCAGAGAAAAAGGCAATTGATAGATGTGGTTTTTGTATCCTTAACTAATTGCTAACGTTTCTAGATCAGGGTTTCTTAATCTTGATGTTTTGGCCTGGATAATTCTTGCAATAGGGCGCTGTAGTGTACGTGGTAGGATGCTTAACAGCACCCCTAACCTCTAGATACAAGTTACAGCTCCCCAGAAATGTGACAATAAAAATGTCTGCAAGCATGACCAAGTACTCCCCGGGGGTTAGAATCTCCTCCAGATGAGGAATTTGTTTAGAGGCATTACTAGTTTGTGATCTAGCCATAGTTGTCTGCAGTTCATAGGAAACAGCTGCTAATGTCTCCATCCCATTTGTAATTAAGGCACTATCGGATTCTTAAAACAACTAAGATGGCCCCAATGTTTTTCACTTAGTGTTATAATAACCAAAGGGAATTTTTGATGTGCATGTTAACAAAGAATACATTATCCATAAAAATGTGCAATAAGACGTGTATTGTTCAATGCTTGACTACAGATGTATGACTACGTAAGTATAAGCAGTGTGAGTAATTGTCTCAAGGCTATCTGACTTGGAGTCTAATTGTGTGTGTGTGTGTATTTCTATCAACAGGGCTTTACTGTGGTTGTAAGCTCAGTTCCCAATCAAAACCTAGAAATATTACAGCCGTATGATCTCAGCATTGATATTTATAGCCGTTACATCTACTGGACATGTGAGGCCACCAACGTCATTAATGTAACAAGATTAGATGGCAGATCAATTGGAGTGGTTTTAAAAGGAGATCAGGACAGACCTCGAGCCATTGTGGTAAACCCAGAGAAAGGGTATGTAACTAAAATGTGATCAGATGTCTTGGCATCTGAGAGCCTCCTTACCTTTCTTTTCCACTCATTATTGATTTATCGTTAAGCACCCTGTACTCCAGTATTATATATCTATATACCCTTACATTTCTCTATATACTTCCCTGTACTTTTTCTTATATCACTGCCAAAGATTTCCTTTCTTGGTCACTGTAGCTGTAGTTCTAAATTCTACTGAGGCATCTAGGACTTTTTCAGTGCCACCCTCCATGACAGTTTCCTTGATCTACCCCACCCGGAGGCAGATGTGACTCCCCTCCTCTTGAATATCTAGTATTCTGTGTCTCCAGTTATACTTAGCCCTTTCCAAATTATCTCTATTTTTAGTCTTAAAATCCTTATTAAACTTCAGATTCCTATATCTCAAGAACTAATTTATCTTCATTTAATACGCATGTTTGCATTTAATAAGTATTCTGTGCTTAATTATATCCAAGTGATTCTGAATTCAGGGAAAATAGCGTACTTCTAAAGTAGAGGGGTAAAAATCTAGAATTAAATATAAGAAAAAATTTACATAGGACTTATTTTTAGGTATTAAAAAGCTAATTAGAACAGGTTCAGATTTCTCTGGCCATTGCTCTTTAATATTATTCCTAAAACATAGGTGTATCTGTATGTAATACTTCATTAGTCAATTAAAGTTAGCTCCCTAAGAACCTCTATCTGTTGTATCCCTTTGTCTCCATTGGTTTTAATGAACAAGTATATCCTTATTGAATCTGATTTATTGCTCTGGTAACATACTACTTATGTTCTTTTTCTTCAGCTATATGTATTTTACCAATCTTCAGGAAAGGTCTCCTAAAATTGAGCGGGCTGCTTTGGATGGAACAGAACGAGAGGTCCTCTTTTTCAGTGGCTTAAGTAAGCCAATTGCTTTAGCCCTTGATAGCAGATTGGGCAAGCTCTTTTGGGCTGATTCAGATCTCCGGCGAATTGAAAGCAGTGATCTCTCAGGTACTTAAGAAAACTGTTTCCTTCTTCTCATTTGTTTTTCTTTGAAAAACATAGAAAAACACATAGTAAAGATTCCAGAAGGCTACTCACAATTACAAATAACAACAGAGAAACTCCAGTAAGGTTGGGGGGGAGGGAGGAGAAAATATTAAAACCAGATCAAGCCCAAAGATTCAGAGAGGAGAATAAAGTGACAAGGTTTTAACCGGTTGTTCCAGTTTTTCATTTTAATCTTCTGTAGTCATCTCTCCAATACTTTGTTTGATAACCAGGTTATTCCCATCCCTCAATTATGGTTAAAGGGAAAATCACAGAAGGCTTATTCCCTGTATAGATCCTGAAAATGTATTTTGGGCTTCCACTGTCATAGCACACCAAAATCTCACAATTTATGCTCTGGTACTATTCCCTCCTTCAGATTTGGATTATATAATTTACCATCATTGGATCATGGCTGATGGTTTACTTCTTCCATGTGTACTTAGTTGATGTCTCACTTACATGGCTGCTTGTTAGAAAACAAGGCTTTAAGACTCCAGATGCTATTTTGTCTGACAGCTAGGAGCGTATACATCTGTTCGTGATCTTTCTCACTTCTTTGGAGTACGGTATTGCTGGATCACGTGGTATTTCTATTGCCAGCTGTTTGGGGAATCGCCATATTGTTTTCCACAGTGGGTATACATATTTACAAGGCCATCCGCAGTGTGTAAGAATTCTAATCTCTCCACGCCCTCTCCAGCATGTGTGCTCTTTTTAAATTGAACTACAGTTATGGGTGTTAGAATGTTCCCTTCTATTCCAATTTTACTGAGTGCTTTTCTTAGAAACGAGTGTTGGATATTGTCAAATGCTCTTTTTGCATCAATTGATAAGAGCATTTGATTCTTATCCTTTATCTTGTTTATGTGGTGGATTACATTGTTTTTCCAATGTTAAACCATCTTGTATCCCTAGTATGAATCCCACTTGTTCATGATGTATTATTATTTTGATGTGTTGTTGGGTTCTATTGGCCAGGATTTTGTTGAGAATTTTTCATCTATGTTCATGAGAGATATCAGTCTGTAATTTTCTGTCTTTCGGGGGATGTCTGTCTTTGGGTGGGGTCTTTGCTTGTTTTTGGTATCAGGGTTATGCTGGCTTTGTAGAATGAGTTTGGGAGCTTGCTGTCTCTTTCAGGATTCTGGAGTAGTTTGTATAGAATTGGCGACAGCTCTTCTCTGATTACTTGGTCGATTTCTCCTGTGAAGTCATGTGGTCCTGGGCTTTTTTTGGTTTGGGGTTTCTTGATGACCTTGTCTCTTCTTTTGCCATGAATCTGCTCAAGTTTTTAATGCCCATGTATGTTAATTTGGGAATAGGGTGCATTTCTAGGTATTTGTCCATGTTGTCTAGATGATCAAATTTGTTGTACTGTAGTCTTTAGTAATACTGTGTTGTTATTCTTACTTCAGTTGGATCTGTTGGATGCTACCTGTTTTGTCTCTTAATTCTGGATATTTATGTCTGTTCTTTGTTTTCCTTAGTTAAGTTTGATAGTGGTTTGTCAATTTTGTTGATCCTTTTGAAGAGTCAACTTGCTATTTTGTTAATTTTTCCATTGTTTTTCTATTTTCCAGCTCATTTATTTCTGCTCTAATTTTTATTATTTCTTTTTTTCTGTTGTTGGAGGGTTTATGCTGTTGATTGTATTGTGTTAAAGTATTAACTTATTTTCTTCTCTTTTTTAATGTGTGCATTATTTGCCTTCCTGATCTGTCATCATAAAGTATATACTAATGTTGTTGTTAGTGGAATTCACTTTCGAATCACAACAACTACATGTAACATACTAGAACTGCCCCAGAGTTTTCGAGGCTGTGGTCTCTATGAGGTCGGTATCACCAGGTCTGTCTCCTGAAGAGCACCTAGGTGAGTTCAAGTGCCTCACCCCTAACACTGTGCCAGAGTCCTTGCTCTGTATTATTGGAGTTTTTTCTGTTTGCAGTATTTATAATCTATAATTTTTTAAGTCTTCTGTTTTAAATAATCCCTTCTCATTTTTCTGTTATGCATGTGTAGGCTTATGCCTGGGATTATGTTTTCCCCTTGTGTAATCATCTATATCTCATATATTCTGATTTTTACAGTAGTTATTTATGTTTCATATATGTTTAGCATTCTTTAGAATTACTTTTACTTTTTTTCACTTTCTCTTAAAGTGTGTTTTTGATGTTGTCAAAACAAGATACTCATTAAGAATATAAAAATAAAAATCACCCAGACCACTGTCATTATTAACATTTTAATGAATTAGCTTCCATTTTTGTCTATATATCTTTTCATTCTTAATTATGGGATGATTTAACATGTACAGAGTACCTACCACCCGAATTTGTCATATCTTCGAGTTTGGTCATATTTGGTATTGGATCTCCCTTCGTTCTTGGAAATAAAACTGTAGAGAGAGTTGTGAAGTGGTGTGTACTCCTCCTTTATTCTATTCTTGTAAATAAATCCCAGAGGTAATTTTGTAACTTTCCCATTGCCATGTTTGTTTTACTGTGTATTTGTTTTAACATGTATACATACATACACAAATATTTTTTTCACTTATTTAAACTTAATATATTCTCACACTGGGTGTATTATTCTTCAGCTCGCTTATTTCAGAAATAATGATTTTGAAATAATTCATATTGCTCAATAGCTTCTCATTTATTTTCTTTCTATGGCCATTCTCGATTTCTCGATTCTTCTTTGTAGCTAAACAACTTGCAGGTGTGTTTCTTTACCCTCAGAAGCTGTGACTGTCTGTTTGTACATGGGAACATTTCTCTGTGACCTAGAGCTCGCCATTCTGCACCGGTCTTGGGCCTTTCCTTCTTCATACTGTTGGCATTTTAAAAGAATAAGAGCCGGTTACTTTAGGAAATGTCTCTAAATTTCAGTTTCCCCATGATTATGTGTTTAGGATTTATTTATATGTTTATAAGTGTCTTTCAGATAGTTGAGGAAGAGGTAGGTTTTTTAAAAATGACTTCAATTTTAATATCTAAAGATCTATTTGAGTGTTTAGTATTTTTACATGGATTTTGATATTTTTTTAAACCTATGAGACTGCTCAATCTCCAGCTTCAAAATCAATACCATTATCTCATACTGTTCTTACTTATTAAATCTCTGCTTTATCTGTGGTTAATGTATCCTTTTAATTCCTGATTGCTTATTTTAAAATTTACCTTTTGTACAAAAAATATTTAAATTGAATTTAAAACAAACTTCTAAGTAGAAAATCATGTGTTTGGCTTGATGAACCAACACAAAATGAAAACTTCTAGATCAAGAAATAGATTTTTTTAACAGTTTTATTGACATATACTTTATATATCATACAATTCAGTGATTTAAACATTTAAAAGAGTTATGCCATCATCACCACAACCAATTTTAGAACATTTTCTAAAATTATACTTTATTGTATTCATTATTAGCTCCCTATTGCCTCCTAATCTCACCCATATGCCATTACCCTAAGAAACTATTCATCTAATTACTGACTCTAGATTTACCTATCCTGGGTTTCATATAAAGAAAAACATATAAAAACAAAATGCAACTGAGGAAAACTTCAATAAGAAAATAATAATAATTGGAACACATTTAAAATGGTCCCAAAGGGAAAACAAAGGATGTTAAATTTTAACTCAACTACATCTGCTTTAATCCTCTTTCCAGTGTTCTCTGTCTGGCACGGCTATTCATATCCCTGGTCAGTGGTGAGAGGAAGTTCACTGGAGGCTTATTACATATTCATGTGGAGAAAGTCAGCAAGTGGACTTGGGGCTAAGATAATTAAACAGCATACTAATGTCCGTTCCCCTTTTTCAAAGATAACTATTAACTTGACCGTAACGCTATAGATCAGATTTGCCTGATGTATGCCTGTGTGCCATAACTATAGTAGGATTTTGTTGTGAGGGGCCATGAAGTTCCAATTCATAGGGCCCCTGGGTGCAACAAAAATGCCACCTGGTCCTGTGCCATCCTCACAATTGTTCTCATGTGTGAGCCCATTGTTCTAGCAACTGTGTTCATCCATCTTTCTTGTTGAAGGCCTTTTTCTCTTTATCTGCCCCACTACTTTACACCAAGCATTGTGCCCTCCAGGGACTACTGCTCTCTCTTGAAAACACGTCCAAAGTAGGAGAGAGAATGTCTAACCTTTCTTGCCTGTTAAGGCACATTCTGGCTGTACTTTTGAGACAGAATTGTTTGTTATTTTGGCAGCCCATGGTGCTTTCAATATTCTTCGCTAGCACCGCTATGCAAATGCATCGATTCTTTTTCAGTCGTCTTTAGTCAATGTCTAATGTTCACATGCATATGAGACCATTGAAAATACCATGGCTTGGGTTAGGAGGATCTTGGTCCTCAAAGTAACATCCTTGCTTTTTAATACTTTAAGGATATTTGTGCAGCAGATTTACCTAGTGCAACTCATCTTTTGCTCTCTTGACTACTTCTTTCATGAGCATTGATTATGGAGCCATGCCAGACAAAATCCTTGACAACTTCAACCTTCTTTCCTTGTATCCTGTTGTTACTTATTGTTCCAGTTGTGAGGATATTGGTCTTGACATTGAGTTGTAATCCATGCTGAAGGCTGTAATCCTTTCATTGGGTGAACTTAACACTTGAGAACTACGAAAACTTTCTGTAGATACTTTAGTGACTTAACAGAAAGAAGGAAAGGAGATTTTGGGTTTTTTTCGTTTGTTTGTTTTCTGAATGAGGGAGAAGCTGTAAAGGGAGAAGGACAAACTTTGTTCCAAGAAGCCAGTAGGGGAGTGGAGGGAGTGATGGTATACTTCCAGGTATGTTGGGGGAGATCAAAGCATAACCCGGAGCCGACCTACCCACACTGCTTCATCTAAAGACACTCCATTGTAACTCTGTCTGGGAGACATCGGACAGTGTAAGACATGACAACATGATGCTTTATACATTATCAAGGGTCAATGAGGGAGCGAGGGTGGGAGAGGGAGGGGAAAAGAGGAGCTGATACCAAAGCCTCTAGTAGAAAGAAAATGTTTTGAGAATGATGATGGCAACAGATGTACAAATGTGCTTGACACAATGGGTGGATGTATTGATTGTGATAAGAGTTGTACGAGCTCCCAATAAAATGATTAAAAAAAAAAAAGATTTAACCTGAAATGTGAACCCAGTTAAAACAGTATTTGAAAACTTACATTTTAAGGGTTTATATTTCTGTGTACTAGAGTATTGTGTATTGGCTGTTATTTGTAGTGTTATATAATGTCTAGTTTGTTACCCAATTTATGGTATCTTCTCTTTTCAGCATGAGCTTTAAGTTAATTGGTAGTGTGCTTATATTTTCCTTTGCAGTGTGTTTTTAGCGTCTAACTGGTGTTCAATACATTTTTGAACATGTGGCCTGATTCACATGACTTTTCTATTGAACATCTTCTTTCCTAGGTGCCAACCGGATAGTTGTAGAAGACTCCAATATCTTGCAGCCTGTGGGACTGACTGTGTTTGAAAATTGGTTATATTGGATTGATAAGCAGCAACAGATGATTGAAAAAATTGACATGACAGGTCGAGAGGGTAGAACCAAAGTCCAGGCTCGAATTGCCCAGCTTAGTGACATTCATGCAGTCAAGGAGCTGAACCTTCAAGAATTTAGTAAGTGAATACACTAAGGGCACTGCTAGTTGGGGCTTACATTTACTGCAAGAAATCAAGATGATTTTGGTCTTGTGTGCGTTTATCAACATGATTTTCATGTACTTTTAGTTTTGCCATTGTTGATTTTAATATGAAAATCATCCGAGTCTTTTTTCACATTAGATATGTTCTCCAAAAAAGTTACGTAATGTTGAATATAGTCATCATGAATTATCCTTAGTCTTAAAACCAAGTACACCTTAGTGTGTAAACTTGGAGAAAACTATCTAACCAATAAAGGCTTATTGTTCTCCCTCTTGGATAAAATTGTCAATTCTAAGCTTAGAAAATTAGCCATTTCTTGTTTTATTGAAAATTTCGCTAATCTTGACATAGTTTCATATTGATATACTATATATACTCGAGTATAAGCCGACCTGAATATCAGCCGAGGCACCTAATTTTACCACAAAACTGCATTGAAAACGTGCTGAAAAACTCGGCTTATACACGAGTATATGCGGTAAGTCTCATAAAAAATACCTTCAGCAGCCACTAAAACAGGTATTACATGATGATATCAGAATGATTATGTTAAATGGAGTACTAGAGAAAGAAAAGCTATTTAAACTCTAAATTCTCAGCATGATGCTTTCAAGTGGAATTGAAGTATGACTTTCTTAGTTCATTAAAAAATTGATGGAAAGACTTTATGGTGTGTCCCCCCCCCACCCCAATTTTCAGGACAACATCCTTGTACTCAAGATAATGGTGGCTGTTCACATATTTGCCTTGTAAAAGGGGATGGTACTACAAGATGCTCCTGTCCCATGCACCTGGTTCTGCTTCAAGATGAGCTATCATGTGGAGGTACACATGCTACAATTTTCTTCTGCAAACCCCTCTTTCACTCTAGCTTTCTGTGGTTTGGTAGTATAGTTGTGCTCTACCCTAACTTGATTTGTCACTTATATTCTACTCATTTTAATGGACCAAAGTTTTGAGTTCTTCTATACGTGATAGTGTTATCTAATCCTAGGACTATGAAGAGTATGTTCTTATTGGGTAAAACTCAGACTATGAATGAGTATTTTAAACAAACAAACAACATTGCCGTCGAGTCAATTCTGACTCATGGCATGCTGTAGAACAGGGTAGAACTGCCCCTGTGGTTTCTGTGACTGTAACTCTTTATGGGAATAGAGAGCCTCATCTTTCTCCTAAGGAGTAGTGGGTGGTTCAAACTGCTGACGTTGTGGTTACCAACCCTACCTGTAACCACTATGCCACTAGGGCTCCCGGAATGAATATATTAAATGAATGTATTGCCTAATAATTAAGTAAATTTCGACCCTATTGCCAAGACGGTAAGATCAATTCATTGTACTTCATGTGTATGATCTCCACTCACTAGCATCTTGACTCTTTCTGCTTATGTATCATTGTTGGGAGTTTTTCCAGTAAAAAAAAGTGCTTTCTCTTTTAATCCTGACAGTAACGCATATCAATTTTGGCATCCAAGAAGATCAGATCAATTAAAGTTTTGGCTGCCTTTTCAAATTTAGGGACTGTTGTTTAGAATTATCTTCGTTAAAAAAATAAATTAAAAAATCCCCTCTTCCTAAGCAGGTAGTTACTTATAGGTAAACATGTCAGATCTTAAGGTGGAAGAGAGATGATCCTAAAAAAATGTCACAAATATAAGTCTAGGCTGTGTTCTCTGCCCCTTTGCTCCATAAATGGAGGCATTCACTGACACATGCATGCCTTGGTCCTCTGTTCTTTCGCTCACCTGATTTTTTTCTGTTCTTTTCGCACTATGTCAACTGTTGTCTTCATGCCTAATATATTTTGATACTCAATCCTATCTTTTTTTAGTTTTTAGTCATGAATATATGTGATATATAATTTTTTAATTGCAGAAATAATACCGTGATCATGGTTTTAACTATAAAATAAATAAAGTAAAATATAGAGGGGGAGAAAGGGACAGGAATTGAACACAAGCATTTTCTTTGCCTCCCCTCTGTGCTCTCTCCTTCCTAGAGAGGAGAGGTGTGTGTGTGTGTGTGTGTGTGTGTGTGTGTGTGTGTGTGTGTATATTTGTGGTTCAACCATAAACGAGGTCATGTTGTACTTATTGTTTGCAACCACTCCCTCCAACTCAATTACATAAACCAATTCATATCTCCCTCCAAATTTCCCTTGACTCTACATTATCTGCCTGTCAGGCCTGAAACCAGAAAGTCTCATTGATCAGTATCTTTTCTTCCTTTTTTCATTGTTATTAGCAGCCTGGTAGCCAACTTTATTGTTAACTCCTGGCCTCAGTAAGTCTAGATTTTTTTCTTTCTTGTATCCATCTTATGAATCATTGATAACTTAATTTTTCTTAGGGATCATTTTTATTGTATATTCTTTTGTTCAAGCACATCCTCAATTCCTTGTCATTTCTTAAATTTGAATGCTTCTCACCCTATAGAGCTTGGTGGGGGGAGGGGTGCAATTGAGATGCCTCTAAATAATGATGATCATGATATTATGCAGGTTTACCCTGCTATCTGAAGTATTCTTATGAAAGCTTTTGTAGGCAGAAATGGCATAAAGGAAAGAAACTATCCTCATTAACTTGTATGGGAATTTTTTTGTGTTCTCGGTCCCAAGAAATAGCCCACCAAGTCATACCAATTAACACACAAAAACAAAAATAATACTAACGTAATATGGTGCTCACGTACAGTTCAAACCAATGGCAGCTTGATGCTAAGTTGCTGAGTGTATGTGCCAGGGAAAGAGCTTGACAATGGCCTGACTGCTTATGTTGCACATTGCTTCTTTAATGGGGTGTGGCAAAACAAATGCTCAGTGCGAGTTTATCTTTGCAAAAGTGAAAATGCTCCCTGTGTTTCTTTGAGTTAGTGAAAACAGCTACCGAGAGTACTAATAGAGGTTTTTCATAAGCAAAGTGGTATAAACTTTTGAAAAGCCAGGGATAGCTGTAGTGAAATAGGTTTAATCAGTCACAGTGACTTATAACAGATTGATTTATTGCTGTCATTAAAATACTACAGCAGTATCAAATGTCAAAATGATGCTTATATTCTTACTTCAGAAATTTTGAGGATAATTCCAAGTTGATTCAACTGAAGGAAATAATTATACAGTGCTCCTGTCTATAATGGAAGAAATTTTCAAACAATTTCTAATGATAGGTAAATTATTATTAAGTAAAATAACTGAGCTTACATAATTATTAAGTTCACAAAGTTGACATAAATATGGAGCTATGTGCTGGCATAAGTGAAGAAAAAGGTTACTAAAATGGTATTTTCTACTATAATGACAACAATATAAAACTGTGTTAGACAGGGTTCTCTAGAGAGATAAAACCAAATTCTTGATAATATAATATATTTATTTATAAAGGTAATTAATATGTAACAAGAAATGAAATGTTAAATCATATACAGATAAATATACAATCTTAAATCATATACAGATAAATATACAATCATATACAGATAAATACACAAGAAATAAACAGTTAAATTAGAAGCACTATAAACGGCTTAGGGCAACTCACGTCCGTGAGAGAAAGTTGAGAGACTAGCAGTCCTTCCAGTCTCTATCTGATGCCAGATCTTCCTCTATTTGTAGAGAGAGCTAGGCTATGTCAGCACAGCAGCCAATCACAAGGCAGGTCACCAATTGCCAGTTCCCAGCTCCAGAGAAGTCTTAAAGGGACCTCAACTTACAGCAACACAGTCCACAGGCTAGGCGTCCCACAGGCTCTGTAGCCTTTAAATTAAAGCACAGAACAAGCAAGGCAGCCGCACACTGGTCCGATGATCACAGAGCGAGAGACAAGAAAGGCAAGGCTCACCAAGCCATCCATCTCTCCGCCCCTCAGTCAATCCCACCTGCGTTTATCAGCCAGTCTGGCACAATAAACTGTCTCAAACAGGTACTTCTGTGAACAAAGAAAAGGGAATATATACTGAACATAAAAATGATTGATAACAGAATTGCAAGTAAATTTTATTCTTACCTTTTTGAACAGAATAAATAACGTGTATTGAGCTTGAGCAACTCTCAGGTACTCTGCTAGGTCTATAAGGATTTGAAAATGTCTAAAGTAAATCAGACAGTTTTGTTGGGAAGATCAGATGTAGGCACCATAAAATTAAAGCTCTGGTACTTGAAATATCATAAATAAATAACAAGGGTTTCTATATCAAGGTGCTGTTACTTTGATAGACAGGCTAAGGTTACTTATTAAAACAGACAGATTTCCCTTTATGTAAGGATAACAGATAAAACTGGGTGAAGGTTATCACTGTTCATTTAGGAAATGTTCATAGAGAGAACATTGGTTGTTTTGGTTGTTGTTTTTTGCTTGTATGTTTACTGATTTTTTAAATGTACGTATTAAATGGGTCAGCAGTGAGTTTGGGCACATGTATATATGCCAAGACCCAATTCATAATGCAGAAGTTTGCCATCACCAGTGGTTTCTCCTATCCCAGAAGTAGCCATTCTTCTGACTTTTGCCCCTATTGACTTCGTTAACTAGTGCTGCTGTAGTAGATACGCCACAATATAGTTGACTTTATAAACAAAAACGTCTCACAATTTAAACTCAAAACGAGACCCACTGCCATTAAGTTGATTCCGACTCAAAATGACCCTATGCAGGTTTCCAAGGCTGTAAATCTTATAGGAGCAGCCACCTAAGAATGAGTTGGTGAGTTTGAACCTTCAGCCTTGCAGTTAGCAGTAGAGTGTTTATCTAGCCCAGCGGGTCCAACGACACTTTCACAGGGGTCGCCCGATTCATAACAGTAGCAAAATTACAGTTATGAAGTAGTAAGGAAAATAACTTCATGGTTGGGGTGTCACCACAACATGAGGAGCTATATTAAAGGGTGGCGTCATTAGGAAGGTTGAGAACCACTGATGTAGTAGCACCACCAGGGTTTGTTTCTCACTGTTTGGGTGACTGGAAGTCCGTCCATATTCATGCCTCTAGGGGAAGGTTTTTTCTACTATGGGGGGAAGTTCTTCGAGCTTCAGCTTCTGATCTTTCTGTAGCTTTGTGATCTTTCTGTAGCTTGGCATCATCTTCCCCCCTTTTTGCTCTGATCATTTCGTTAATCTCTTTATATCTCAAAAGAGATTAACTCAAGATATGCCCTGTCTCATTAACATAGCCAAGAACTCATTTCCAAATAGGGTTTTAAACTACAGGCGTATATAGGTTAGGATGACAATACATATTTTGGAGGAATATAATTCGATTCATAATACCCATAGATTAGTTTTGCGTGGTTTTGAACCTCATATAAATAGAATCTTGATGTATATACTCTTTTTAAATTTGGATTTTTTAACTTAGTACAATATTTGTTGAGATTCAGCTCTGTAGTTATGAGAAAATAAGATTTTGTTTACGAAAGCCACCAAAATAGTGGCGTTTCTACTATAGCAGTACTAGATAACTATGTTAAGCAAACAAAAAATTTGACTCACTGCTAATTGACTTAATTCCAACCCTTATAGGACAGGTTTCTAAAACTGCAACTCTTTACAGGAGTAGAAAGCCTCATCTATTTCCTAAGGAGTGGGTGGTGATTTTGAACTGCCAACCTTAAGGTTAGAAGCTTAGTGCATACCTACTTTATCACCAGGGCTCCTTGGTCTAATTAATTTTTGCAGGGTACAGCTAGCCTCCTCATGATCTATGGAATCTTTACTAGTTATTAGTCTCCTGTTCTAAATTGTTGCATTTTTCCCATGAAGTTTGCTTGGGGTACAATTCAGAGCAATGTAGCCATTTGTTTTATATTCATTAGTCCTTTCTCCGATGAAATTAGCAGCTACTTAATGATAAGGATCATGCCTTATCTATTTTTTATTCCCCACACAATTGGTTCTAGTGTTGAATACAAAATAGGCTTTCTGTAAAGAACTCCACTTATATATGTACTATTCCATATCTTCCTTTTGTAAAATGTTTGTTTGTATTCTGTTTTAAATATAGTGGGTATTCTGATCCATAGTTTATAACAAAATTATAATATTCTCTAAAGAGTTTACTAACATAATATTTTCCAAGTAGTCGATATGCCTGCAACATAGTAGTATATAAGCTATGTGCTACATGTGAGGAGGCTACTTTCCTAGCTCTGTCTGTTTATCTCTGTGTCTGAAACACTCATTCTTAGCCTCTCTTAACCTCAGTCTATCTGTAAAACAGGGAACTTGAACTCAAGTGGCAGTATTAAAACTTTTTAGTCTCCAGATATTTCTACGTTAAAAAAAATTTTTTTTGAGGACCACAAAAGTTTTTGTCTCTGAAGTTTACAGTTACATTTGCTAATATTTACTTTATTAGAATTTGAAACCAGGAACTTAAAAATGCGTATCCCAGAAATACAATTAGCAGACCTTTTAATGTTCTCATAAATGAAATAAATTAAGAAAAATAATTATACTTTTTAAAACAAGCAGTTGGGTAGGATAGTGGCACACAGCTTTTTAATCTTAATAATTCTTACATTGGGCTGGTTTCTAATACTTGCTTGTGCACTTAATTAGTCTGTTGTAATCAATAGTTTTGGTTGAAATATATGAAGAAAATTTGACCTCACACAGATGTGGAGTTTGAATACAAGAGACTATAATAATAGCCTTTTCAAATAATTATAGATACTCATCTTTAATACTACATCAGATCTTGACAAGTGGTAATTTCCTAAAACTTTAGTTACAGTGTGAAATTTGAAACCATATCACTTAATTTCCATTCCCCTCTTGTATGGAAATCCATTAAACTACTTTAAGCTCTGAGTGAATCTTTTATGCATGCACGCTATTGTGACCTCCATGCCTTGGTCATTTGAAGTACATTGAAGTCTGTGAGAACCTGAATGAACTGGATGGGACTGCCTTGTTTTTCTGGCTCTTGTGAAGCTTTCCACCTTATCGACAGGGTGCACTTTTCTCTCCCTCTCTGTTTAGTGGACATTCGTTACAATTTCCATCTCAGGAAGGTTTCTGCCTTAAGGAGGCTCCAGCTTTTGCAGGTTTAGTGTAGAGATTCCCCAGATCTTCCGATGTTGACTCTTTTCACTATTCACTATTATGTATAAAATGCACTTGCCTATGTTACCCCAGTCCCATCAGAAAAACCTTTTTTTTTTTTTTTTTTAACCCCATCAGAAAAATCTTTAAGGACTAAGAATTTGTTACGGTCATAGTGTTATGTAAAGGTTTTTCTACATTCTGATTTCTGTTTCAAAGTGCAAACATTATCTTCTGAAAAGACTTACTATCCCTTGTTTTTCTTGAAGTAACAAGGTCACTTGGTTCATTTAAAAGAAAATGACTGCCAAACACTAAGGTACATATAATTATAGTTTAACTGGGTGGGGGGTGGGGGGGCCGCAACAGTTTGAGCAGACAACTAAAACAAATGCTTTTTCTTGCAAAACTGTGATGAAAGGACATGACTAGTTTATTGCACTTCACTCTTAAGCTTCCCAGATTACAGTTTTATAAGTTGAAGTTTTGTGGCAACCGGGCATTGAACAAGCCTAATGGTGCTATTTTTCCAACAGCATGGGATAACTTCATGTCTCTATGTCCACATTTTGTTTGGTAATTCTCACATTATTTCCAACCTTTTTTTAATTCTATTGCACACTTAATAGACTAGAATATAGTATAAATGTAACTTTTATATGCCCTAAGAAGCCATAATATATACAATATTTGCTCTTATTGGCAGTTTTCTGAAACTAAACCTACAATAGCTCTAAGGTACGCTGTATTTAGTTATGCAGCAATAACATTCTTGATTAAAACTAGCTTTTTGTTTTTAAACTACGTGACTGAAGAATGAATACAAAGACAATTACAAAGTGCATTTTGGTGGCACTACCTTGAATTTTATAAGCCATTCCTTTTATAGAATCAGTGCATGTATTGTAATAAAAGGAGGTTACAGCTGGCCTACAATTGTACAATGGGTTTTGACCCATTGATTCTTTGAAAGAGATCTCAGGGATCCTGAGGGCTCCCTGGATCACACTTTGAGAACCTAGCAGGTAGCAGAACCTCTCAGTTAACTTTAAAATAGTCAAAAACTGTCCAGTAGAATGTAATGGATCATAAATTTAGTAATCCTATTTCAATAACAATATAACAAGAAAACGGTCTTACAGTTCTGTAGGTTACTGAATTTTAAACCTTTAAAAAAATGTAACTGTTTTCTTCTGTGATTAGGTGAGATCATTTATAAATTATATTTATTATAAAGTATTTCATATGTAAATTCTTACTTGTGTATAGCGCTTTATGACCAGTGTTGCATTTTGGTCATTTCCCTCTCCACCCTTTGTTCATTTGAAGAACCTCCAACGTGCTCTCCTCAGCAGTTTACTTGTTTCACGGGGGAAATTGACTGTATCCCTGTGGCGTGGCGGTGTGATGGCTTTACTGAATGTGAAGACCACAGTGATGAGCTCAATTGTCCTGTATGCTCAGAATCTCAGTTCCAGTGTGCCAGTGGACAGTGTATTGAAGGTGCCCTCCGATGCAACGGAGATGCAAACTGCCAGGATAAATCAGATGAGAAGAACTGTGAAGGTATCCAACATTCCTCAGTGACTTGTTATGTGGGCCTCTTTTCATTAGTTATTTTAGGTTGAGAATGCTGCTGTGGCTCAGCCGTTAGCGTGAGGTTTTCAAGACTTAGGGCCATATTACCTCTGAACATACTAACATGTCCAAAATGGTTTTAGTTAACTTCACAGATAGAAGATTTATAAAGATAAATGGTATTTGAAAAGGGAGACCAAGAGATTAGTCCTTTAATATGTAGAAATAATTTCTGTGTACAATTTACTCTGAATTAGTGGATTTATTATTACAATCTAAAATATTGAACATCTCTCTACTCCATGGGTCATAAAAATCATCCAAGTCCTCAAAAACTCTTGAAGGTAGTCCAACAGAATCACTAATGAAAGAGGACATTTAATATACCAATGGAAACTTCCAGTTTTTAGTTATCTAAAAGTAGGATTTTTGTCTGCACTCAAAGTACCATTTGACAACATCTAGCCAACCAACAACTATATTAAGAAATGTTCACCTTCATTAACAATAAGAGAAATCTAAGTTTAAAACAAGATAACACCTCACATTGGGAAATAATAAATGCTATAGTGGATACAGAGAGATCACATCATTTTCACATTGCTGGGGGGGGGGTCTGCAATTTTAAGCAGCCCCTATGGAAGTCAATAAGGTGTTTTCTCTAAGTCATTGCAAAGGCAAGTATCTTTTGATCAAGCAGTCTCTACTGGGTATATACCTTAAAGAAATAAAAAGTACCACATAGACGGACATATGCACACCTAGATTTATTTATTTATTTATTTATTTTCCTTGGGTCGGGGGCCGGGGTGGTGGAGATGCCTCTCCCTGTCTCCCATAGACAGCTCAGGGGCCTAGAGTCCAAAGGGAAGATGCCACCCTAGCCCATAGGGTGCCCACCACTCTCACTGTGAAACCATCACTACTGGGTCAGCACTCCCTCAAACCCAACCCCCACCCTCCATTTCCTGCTTCATCGTTTAGTGAAATTCTCCTGATCCCAAACCTAGCTTAATTGCTACATCTTCCAAGGAGTCTTCCACACTCCCTTCTGCCTCTCATCCCATCCTGAAGCCCCCAGCCAAGCATCAGGGGAGGGAGGGTACTCATCCTCCACACCTAGATTTATTGTAGCAATTTCCATAATAGCAAAACCATGGAAGCAACCCAAAACTGATTATCGAGGAATGGGATACATATGCAATGGAATATATATGTATCAATAAAAACCAAGTTCAACTTTCATAAACACTGTAAGAGATGGACAAAATTAGAGAACATGCTAGAATGATGATGGCAACAAATGTACAGATGTGCTTGACACAGTGGATGTATGTATGGATTCTGTTACGAGTTGTATGAGCCCCCAATAAAATGATTAAAAAAAACCAAACTAAACATGTTTGGCAAAGTTAGTCTTACAAAAGCAAATATTTAATAACACCATTATTATAAAGAAAAACTAAATGAAATTTGCATTTCACAACAAAAGATTAGACTGATGCAGGAACAGAGAGAGAGGAGGGACAGAATATTGAGGAAGGAGGGAGGTAGGTAGGAAGGATGGGGGTTGGGGAAAGAGAGTACCTTTTGGACATTAACCACAGTTTGGCTTTACAGTGTAGTAAAATAAGAAAACTATTTGCATTTTTCCACAGTGCTTTGTTTAATTGATCAGTTTCGCTGCGCCAATGGTCAGTGTATTGGAAAGCACAAGAAATGTGATCATAATGTGGATTGCGGTGACAAATCAGATGAACTGGATTGTTGTAAGTGGGACTAAAGTCTTATAAATTACTCTTAAAGGAACTTTTAAGGAATACTTTTTTATATATGTGAGGTCCACGTATTACTGTATACATAAATATGTACTCATCTTAAGCTAGTTACCTGTGCCAAGAAATTTTTATATCTTGTTTTTAATAATTTATGAAACATAGCACTTGTGCATAAAAATCTTTACAGAAACATTTAGAAGACACTATTACTCTGCCTCATCTATAGATAAGAAATTCTCAACAAAAATTTGGATGCAAATTGGGTTTGTAGAGCAGCTCATCGGTAGTACTACATTGAGCAGCTCATCAAACCACGTCTTTTCCTATTTCCATAACTTCTCGCCATTTCTTTGTTGGCTGTTATTTCCCCCTGTACCCAAATAACACCTGTCTACCCTCTAGCCTTTGATTTCCGTGTTCTATTCCTTCTCCTCCAGCTCTTGGTAATCATCAGAGAATGTTTATTTCCGTGTGAAAACCTTTTCTTGGTTTTAAATTTTAAATTTTTATTAATACTGGTCTCTTACAACATTTGCCCTTTTGTAATTGAATAATTTCACTCAACATTATGTCATGGATGCAACATTATTCAACCTTATTCTTTAAGGCTGTGTAGTACTCCATTGTGTTCATGTACCATAGTATGTTGATCCATTTGTCCCATTGTTGGGCGTGTAGATGGTTCCCGTCTTTTTGCTGTTGTGAATAGTGCTGCAACAACATGGATGTGCATATTATAGCTCTTATTTCTTTAGGATATATGCCAAGTAGAGGGATTGTTGGGCCATGTGGTTTTTCTGTTCCCAGGTGTTTTGAGGAAGTGCTCTGCTGGCTTCCACAGTGGCTGTACATTCTTTTAAAGCACCACCAGCAGAATATGAGGGTTGTAGTCTGTATGCATCTTTTCCGGCTTCTGTTGTTTTCAGGTTTTCTGAAGTTTGCTATCAGTGCTGGGGCTAAAAAACTTTTAAGAACTTCCTTAAAATGCAGCCCGATGATCCTTGGGCTGTGTTGAGGGACTTAGTTTTTTTCTAGGTTCATAACTACAGAGCAGTGTTCTAACATAAGAGAGGACTTCAAAAAGTTTGTTGGAAAATTATATTCTCTTAATTCTGTTGTTCCACAAACATTGGGTAGTCCTTTGTATAATGTATGAATCCCAAATTAGTAAACTGACTCTGAATTCAACATATACCAGGACCAGTTGGACTGTTGGAACTTAGATATGGCTCATTTAAATATGCTGATATGCAGTGAAGTTTTAAGTTGCTTGTTTTGCAAAGTTCAAATGAGATTCTCAGATTCTGTGAAAGTCTTTTAGCTTATTTAGCAAACATTTACTGCTAGCTGCTAAATACTCTGCTATGTGCTGAGGATTCTGGGGACTTCTCAAAGCCCTCTGTTGCTGAGATAATAATAAGAATAGGGATTTTAGGGCCAGTGAGAACGGAGTTTTAATTCTAACCCCTCCCCTTACTAGCAGATTACTTGTTCGTAAACCTTACTTTCTTAATCTTTAGACTGAAAATAATAATACTTGGCTATTGTGAGCACATTAAATGATCTAACGTATATAAAACACAGTCTGTCTCACAGTAGATGCTATTGATAATAGTGTGCTGATATATGATAAGAGATTTAAAACATTACATCATAAAATGATAGAGATCTGCAAGAGTAGGAAAGCCCTAGTGGGGTAGTACTAACTAGCAGCCTTGGCTGCTCACCTGGAAGCCAGTGGTGGGAGTGGAACACACTCCATGTGACAGTCTGCTTCGGCAAAGACTACAGTTTTAGAAACCCCGTGGTGTGGTTCTCTGCCATTTCGGGTTATAGTGTGTTGGAATCAACTCGGCAGTAGTGGATTTGTTTTTGGGTTCTGTGTGTGATGCAAGCAGTAGTACAAGGAAGGGAGTAGTCAAACATTTGAGACTGAAGATGGAATCGAGGCTTTTTAGGGGCAGTGGTACTTAATGACTGAATGTTCATTGTGCAGAGAGGCAGCAAAACCGCATTCCAGGCTGAGGAAATATAGCCCACTCAAAACCAGAAAGGAATACAACAGACATTTTATAGAAACAACATGAAAATGGGACCACCAGAATACAGGTTCTGTGATGAAGCAGAATCAGCAGGAGACGGCATAATTAGAGATATGATCATAGAGGACTTTGTTTTGCTTCTAAAGAACTTCAGCAGTCTTCTAGAGCGACAGCAATGTAAGATTCAAGAACAGAACTAGCATGGCTACAGAAATGTGAAAGCCGGCGGTGAGAAGGTTGTAGGTGGGAGCTCTGCTGGACTGGTTGTTTTCAGACTCTCCTGAAGACATCAAGAGTGCATACATAAAGAGCAGTGTCAAACAACACATTTACCTCTATTATATGAAACGCGTGTATTCTGTTTCATATTTTTTAAATGTTGGTTGCAACTTAACTCAGTTGTCTTCACTTCCACTAATGGCTTCCAGCCTGCAGTTTAAAAATACCTTTGGGGGATTTAAGCAGAAGACTATACATATCTGCATTGAGAGGAACAACAGTGGTGGCGGACAGGAGATTTCTTTCAGAATTAGAGGAAAAATGGTTTGAGTAATCACTTAGATTGAGTCTTTAAGTTTAATTTAACTCACAGGTACCTCATTGAGTGCCTGGAAACCTTGCATAGCAGAGACTGGAAACTGAGCAACCCTTCAGTAACCTAGGCATTTGTGACTGACAGACCCTACATTTTATGCCAGATGTAATGAAGTGAAGCATTGCTTTTGTTAATTTGGTTTTTATTGTTATTTTTTGTCTTTAGATAGCACGCGCTCTCCAGTTTGCATCAGGCCTCACCACTCTTTACTGTTAAGTCTTCAACTCTATCACCAATAATGTGACCTGAGAGTCTAGAAAGAGTGCCTGTTGACCCAGTGATGATGAGTTCTGTTTGGGATCTGGTAACTTTGGAGATGCCTGTGCGATCCCACTGAAGCCCTGGGGAATTGTTTACTATGTAGTTTATGACTTAAAAAAGAGAGTTGGGGCTCTTCAGTTTTGTTGGTAATTAAAGCTGTGGCCATGGGTGAAATCTCCCAGGGCCAGATAATAGAGGAGAAAATAATAGGCTGGATGGAGCTCTGGGAGCACCTGTGTTCCAGTGGCAGAAGAGAATGAAGTGAACAAACAGGAAAAAGATTAATCAGAGATCATGAAACCACGAAAGTAGTATCTTGAAGTGCTATTGGTCAGTTTTGGGGGGGTTAGAGGAGGAGCCAGGAATATTGAATACAGTGTAGAAAGAAAAATCAATAAGTTGAGGTCATTGATTGTGACAAATAAGGGACCTTTTACATTTTGGTAAAAAGACAGAAGCTTGACTTCAGGGAGTTAAGACATGACCCTGAGATTAGAAGTTGTATGATGGGGTGTGCTATTGAGTCGATGGTGACTTGGAGACCCTATTTGCCAGCATAAAACTGCATACCCACCCCGAGTTTGCCTGGGCCACAGTTTTTAAGAGAATAAATCCCCATGTCCTTTTTCCCACGCAGAGAAGCTAGTGAGTTCAGATTGCTGACCTTTCTTTCTGTTAGCCACTGAGCACTCAGCCCTTGAACCACTAGTTTTGAGAATGCAAATCACTCGTTCTTGACACTGGTACAGTTTACATTTGTGACTGGCAGCACCTGCCTTTTATGTAACGGTCCCTAGATGTTATGTTACTTTTCCTCATATAGCTCATCAGAGTTGAGTTAAAATATGTAGATGTAGATTTGAAGTAAGATGCATAAGGAAGGTGTTTTTTGCTGTTGTTGTTGTTGTTTTCAAGGATCTACAATTGTGAGAGAATTTGTTCAGAATAGAAAACTTTCACTTCTGAATAGAAAAGTAGTGCTCTGAAAGCAATGATGAAACATACAACTTTACTCTAGTTCCGAAATGCTTTCTCCCCACCCACCCATGATCCCAATCCTTCCTTACATATCTGGCTAGACCAGAGGATGTGGAAACACAGAGGATCCAAGACAGATTAACCCCTCAGGACCAATAATGAGAGTAATGCTACCAGGAGGTTAAGGGAAAGGTAGGGTAGAAAGGGGGAACCCATCACAAGGATCTACATATAACCCCCTCACAGGGGGACAGACAACAGAAAAAAGTAGGTTAAGGGAGACATCAGACAGTGTAAGACATGACAAAACAATATTAATTTATAATTATCAAAGGTTCATGAGGGAGGGGAATAATGAGCTGATACCAAGGGCTCAAGTGGAAAGAAAATGTTTTGAGAATGATGATGGCAACAAATGTACAAATGTGCTTGACACATGGATGTATGGATTGTGATAAGAGTTGTATGAGCCCCCAATAAAATGATTTTTTAAAGGAAAAGTAGAGCTCTGAATTTAATAGACCCCTTCACTCCTGCTCTCGACCTCTGACGTTCATGCCCTTTGCTTCAAGAGCTGTGCATTGCTCAGGCACCCAGGAAAAATAGGTGTGCAGGCTTCTGTCTACTTCACCAACCTTCCTTTCTGAATCTTCTGGTACTCAGCCGATGAAAACCTTATATTCCTTGCCCTGAAACAACCAGCTTCAGTCTGAAGGCGTATTGGTCTTGAAAACGAAATAACTTCTAATTTCCCTTCACAACCTAAATGCCTCTTTTTAAGTCTGTAATCCAGCATAGGGTCAGAGCTGCTTTTGGCCTCTTCATTTCCTATAAAATATTGGATAACTTTCTAGGTCCATACCATTTCACCCTAAAAATGTCCCTCTAATTCCAAAGTAAATTCCATGAATTGTGTGATGCTACACAAGTTGAGATAGACTAGATTGTGTGTGTGTGTGTAAAGTTTCTTAATCATTTTGTAATTTTAAATCTAAATTATTGTTTCTGTCTACTTATATGTACTTCTCAATCCTTTGTTTTACTTCTGCATTCACTTAAGGGTAGTTCATTTTGATTCTTACTAATGGTATTTAATCCATAGATGTAGAAGCTTCAAAAAGCTTATAGGGAAAACGGAATTAAAATATAATTTTCCACAAATTTTTTGAAGCCCTCTCATATATATGGGGCATGGTATTTATGTCTTCATAAAAAAGAAAACATGAGGTTTAAAGCTTTATCTTCTGTTAGCAAGCATTGTTTTCCATTGGTATTTTGAGTGTGCAGTTGTTTTTCTTTTACAGAATTGTGTATGTATTCTCCCATTTTAGATCCAACGGAGGAGCCAGCACCACAGCCCACCAATACAGTTGGATCAGTTATTGGAGTAATTGTCACCATTTTTGTGTCTGGAACCATATATTTCATCTGCCAGAGGATGTTGTGTCCACGTATGAAAGGAGACGGTGAAACCATGACTAATGACTATGTAGTTCACGGGCCAGCCTCTGTGCCACTTGGTTACGTGCCACACCCAAGCTCTCTGTCTGCTTCTCTTCCAGGTGCGTTAAGGCTGAAGCATTGAGAATCAGTTCTCGATTTCTGATGATCACTTTTAGCACTTCTCTTTATACAAAAGATAATAGATTTGATTTTGGTAGACTTGCCAAAGGATATACACTCATGCACATGTAAGACACAGCCCTGCTGATTGCGTTTCTGAATGGACTATGGAAGCCAGGGTGGGAAGAGCAACAGACCACTAGTTCTTTGGGCTTGCTTCCAGAGGGACTCCAGTAATGTTAAGCCCCCAAAGAAAAGGAGACCAAAACCCGAGTGCTTAAGATTCCTTTCTGTGAACAAACATTTGTAAGTCACTGGGTAAGAGAAGGAAGAGATTTACTGTGACTGTGGGGGTGGTGCTCGCTACTTTAGGCACAGGCAAGTTAGCCAGAAGTTGTACACGTCAGTAGACTTGACTGCTGTAGGGAATAGCTTTCTTTTCCAGTGCTTTCTAGAATCCTTAGTAAAAAGAAGCTCTTCCTTTTGTTTTGAAAAATGAATATGAATAAGGTGTCAGCAAAACCCTTTGAAAATGGGAACTTATTCTGGGTATAACTCGAGTATATGGACTTGGTTTCTAAACTGGCAGTGATAACAATTGCTATATGTCTTAACAACTTTCATTTAGTAGAATTTAGGAAATCGCTTAGGAAAAAAAGTTTTTCTTCTTTAACATTGATTGTTTTGAATGCGACAACGGTTTGGATTAGAGGTGAAGAAAAACCTATACCTGGTGTTTATGCCCTAAAAAGATTGGTGTAGAGAGTTCCCTTTTGAACAAAGATATTGTTCATCTGCGTCTCCCAGTCTTCAGTCTTCACAATCCTTTCATAGATCCTCCAAGAGGTTAGAAACCCTCCGTTTAAAGAGTTCTACGGTTGCACTGTGGCCACAGAGGTTCTGTCATCAGCCTCATCGCAACATGCTCTCAATGGCAGGAGTCATTTCTAGAAAGTAGTCAGGTTCCTTCTCCATTACGTGTATTTAATTATCATTAGGAAGAGAGGATGTACATTGTTTGAAAGTAAGATGGATTATAGGTCATTGTTATCTTAGTGCTGAATAAAATGAATGTGTTTTTATAGAACTTACCTTGTTTTTATCTCCCTTGATTCTAGGAATGTCCCGAGGTAAATCAATGATCAGCTCCCTCAGTATCATGGGTGGAAGCAGTGGACCCCCCTATGACCGCGCTCATGTCACAGGAGCATCCTCGAGTAGTTCTTCAAGCACCAAGGGCACTTACTTCCCTGCAGTAAGCCATCTCTGATTTAGTTTGTTTCACGTTGAATGCTAGAAGTCATATAACCTTGAATTTTTGACTCATTTAAATGTGGGTACTCCAATCCCTGAAGACAAAGCAGGTGCATAAGCAAATGTGGTGAAGAAAGTTGATGGTGCCTGGCTATCAAAAGATAAAGCGTCTGGGGTCTTAAAGGCTTGAAGGTAAACAAGCGGCCATCTAGCTCAGAAGCAACACAGCCCACATGGAAGAAGCACACCAGCTTGTGCGATCACGAAGTGTCAAAGGGGTCAGGTGTCAGGCATCATCAGAACAAAAAATAACATTGTGAATGAGGGAGGAGTGCGGAGTGGAAACCTAAGACCCAATTGTAGGCCACTGGACATCCCCTTAGAGAAGGGTCTTGGGGAGGAGATGAGCCATTCAGGGTGCAGTGTAGCAACGATGAAACTTTCCTCTAGTTCCTCATACAACTTTCCTCTAGTTCCTAAATGCTTCCTCCCCCACTATCATGATCCCAATTCTACCTTACAAATCTGGCTAGAACAGAGGATGTACACTGGTAGAGATAGGAACTGGAAACACAGGGAATCCAGGGTGGATGATCCCTTCAGGACCAGTGGTAAGAATGGCCATACTGGGAGGGTGGGGTAGAAAGGGGGGACCGATTACAAAGATCTACATATAAGCTCTTCTCTGGGGGATGGACAACAGAAAAGTGGGTGAAAGGAGACGTTGGACAGTGCAAGATATGACAAAATAATTTATAAATTATCAAGGGTTCATGAGGAAGTGGGGAGCGGGGAGGGAGGGGGGAAAATAAGCTGATGCCAGGGGCTTAAGTGGAGAGCTAATGTTTTGAGAATGATGAGGGCAATGAATGTACAAATGTGCTTTATACAATGTATGTATCTATGTAAGAGTTGTATGAGCCCCGAATAAAATGACTTTTTAAAAATCAAGATATACCTATAAATCATATCTGTGTGATGCATAGTTAATTTTTTTAAAATGTGAGTGCCCAGTGATGCTAATATAGAAATAGTTGGTGTTTTGTCTTCCAAAATAGAATTTTGGAGTATAAGAGACAAGGAAAGATTTACCACCATTCCTGTGCTCATAAATCTTTATTTAAATTTTGCATATAATAAGCAAATTTGCAAGCACTGGGTGTTAATGTCACATTTCAAATGAAAGTAGAACTACTACTAAATGATAGCATTGGAGAAACATAAAATCTTCCACCCTGACCTCCCCACAAAGTGATCGTATATGGCATTCTTCTGGCGTTGATTGTTCTCTAAATATTTATAGCTTAAAAAATCAAACCAACTTTAATGAACGTAAAACTAGGGATGTGTAGACTTAAGGTATCAGTATCACCGTGTGAAGTGTAGGTGAGATGAAATTGTGTCTCATGGAAGTGTGTGTTTGTGGACTGGAGGGTTTGCCATGATCTTAAAGTACTACTGTAGAATTCCTTACTAAGAGATTTTATTGGTTGTGTTAGTAGTGTAGTGTGATAGAAGGAATACAAATAGACATGGAAGAAGAGAAGTTGAAAGAACGTCTGATCGTGTCTATATGAGTTATACTGTGGTTATTTTCAATTTTAATTATTTTTTCTTTTAGATTTTGAACCCCCCACCGTCCCCAGCCACAGAGCGGTCACATTACACAATGGAGTTTGGTTATTCTTCAAACAGTCCTTCCACTCACAGGTCATACAGGTAATACACCTCGTCTTCTAACACAAATCCAAGTATTCATCCTAAGGAAGAAGCATTCTAGCGATAGGCCTGATAAATGAGCAGATGGTGGTCACCAGGGAAAAATAGACATCTTGTCTTAGTAATGCTGCCATTTTACCTTCCTTTCGGTGCATTATACATGTTTTAGAAGAACTCACAAATACTAGCTTTTACCATGAAATTTAGAATCTCAGAGTTTTTTACTGCTCAGAAAGAAAATATGTTTGTTTTTAAATGACATTTTAGAAAGGAACTTTAGAAATGACATTTAGAAACCTGAACAATCACAAGCAAGAGGAAAGATAAAATTGTATTAAACAATAGTAATTTTCTTAACTCAAGCTGAATAAAAGTTTGATTCAATAACATTACATCCAAAATAATTCTTATTTAGTCATTTCCCATACCTTGTTTATGCAAAGTTTCCGAGTCAAACCTTTCATGAATTGTTAAAATCGTTATCTAACCTAGGACTTAAAATGAATTTTGTTGATTCCATTTTCCTTTCTTCGATGAACGTAATGGACCTTTTAAATGTCAAGCCAAGAAGTCTTACGTAAGGCTTACCCCCTGATTAGACAGAAAGAGGGGACCTACAAAAACAGTGAGAACATGTCGGTACTCCTGGTAAACATTATTGTGCTTTGCTCAGCAAATCATATGACTTTGGCATTATTGGTCTCTTGAGACTTGCATCCTTAGAGGTTATCTTGAGACTTCTCTCTCACTAGGCATTTTATGAATTGTTACATCAGTTTTATTCTTACTCTTGCCCCTTTACTTGAAGCCACTTTAGGAAAAAAAAATCCACGTAAACCTGATTGAAGTAAATATAAAGTGTGAACAACTTTACATAGTTAGAATACAGAAGATATACCAATAGATGTAGAAGCAATAAAAAAGTCAGCCTTTTAGATCAGTTTTACTTTCACTGTTTTTTTAAATGCCTTTTTCTTTAATTAGCCAGATTATGAATTTAATTAACAGGTGTAATATTACTTGTAAAAGTGGGTGAGTCAATATAAAAAATAAATCATGTTTCTGAGATCCGTGTCAGGACATCCACTGCTCCTGTATAGATTCGTGAGGTCGTGACGGTTCTTTGGCAGCATCCTCTCTTCCATGTAGGAGACCCAGTCTCCAGCCAGTACCTTAAAATCATACCCAACAGCTTTCAGGAGAGCTTCCAGATTAAAACAAACTAGTAAATACATCAGTCTCCTTCTGAAAATTAGCCAATCCTGGTGTACACAGGGTCACAGTGAATCGAGAGCAATCTTTACAGCAGAATTGCCAATGTGACAGTATTAAAGTTGATCATTTTGACAAAACTGCTTTGGGCAACTACCCTTAACTATGTGGAGAGAGTCATCCTCACTCCTCCCATCCGCCACAGCAATGTCCTTTTGAGTATATACACTAATGGGATAGGTATGCCCCTTAGGCTGTCTACCAGAATTCCTATTGGGTTGAACGAAGTAAGAAATAAACTTTTCAGACAGATTCTTCATGTATATTTTGGAGAAGTTAAAGAGTGTTGAAGGGACACTCGTGGTTGAGTCACATCAAATATGCAAAGAGCCGTCTCCTCGCAGAGCATGAAGCTGCAGAAATCAGTAAAGGTCCAATGGGTGCAGAAGTACATGGTCTACGTGATGTTTTCCAAAGATGATTATTTTATTTAGTCTTTTTATTTTGTAGGAGCTGTCTAGCTTGAATATAAGAGTGTACATCCAGAGGCTCGATTACGTTCACCTCTACTTACTCAACCTCTTTTTTTAAAATCACATTCCCTTTACAAATATAAAATTCCGTTGATACCTGCCATTTGAAGAAGTTATGTTCTAAGCCCTCTGCATGCTGAATTATCCTGTTGCCACAGAGTCTGTTCTGACTTATAGCAGTCTTGTATGGTCAAGCAGAGCTGCTTCATAGTTCTCCGGAGGCTGTAAATCTTTACAGGAACGTGCCGTTTCATTGTTTGCCCTCAGGTCGACTGATAGGTTCAAACCACTGATGACCTTGCATGTACCACCAGGATTCCTGAATGCTGACTTAATGACTGCTTAACAAACTCGGTTGACTTCTAAGAGTTTTTCACCTTTATTGGGAACAAACATGTCTGTGCATAACGGGAAGGCACTGCAGGTGTTTTTCGAAAATAGGTGAATTTGCAAATATAGAATCTGTAAATGTGAGATTAGATTGACTACTTTATAAGCAGTGTGTATATCGTCACAGAAGCAGGACAGCCTTATTTTTCTCCCACAGAGTAGCTGGTGAGTCAAATTGCCTACCTTTTGATTCACAGCTGAATGCCTGCCCATTGTACCACCAAGACTCCTTACACTGGGTTAATCGAACCCAAACTAAGTTGACTGCCTTCTAGTTAATTATGATTCCAGCAACAGGGTAGAACTACTCCTTGGGGTTTTCAAGACTAGTCCTTTATGGGACAGATAGCCCACACAGCACCTGGTAGTTTTGAACCACAGACCTTGGGGTTAGCAGGCCAGTGCTTAATCCGGAAGGCCTCCAGGGCCCCTTAAGAGTCCTCCTGTCTGCCATTGGAAATTGCCTCTTGGTCTCTCCAGACGTATGTTGAAAAGCGTATTGCCTTGAAAATGATATTGACATGTAATGCCTCGTTAGTCACGTAGGGAAAACGCTTTTCAAAAAAACTGACTACTCTTCTCTTGATTTACTCCTGTTCCCAGCTACAGGCCATACAGTTACCGGCACTTTGCACCTCCCACGACACCTTGCAGCACAGATGTTTGTGACAGTGACTATGCTCCGAGCCGGAGAATGACCTCAGTAGCAACAGCCAAGGGTTACACGAGTGACCTGAACTATGACTCAGAGCCTGTGCCCCCGCCTCCCACACCTCGCAGTCAGTACTTGTCAGCAGAAGAGAACTGTGAAAGCTGCCCACCTTCTCCTTACACCGAGAGGAGCTACTCTCATCACCTCTACCCACCGCCACCCTCGCCCTGTACAGACTCCTCCTGAGGAGGGGCCCTCCTCCTCTGACTGTCTCCAACACAAAAATGTAAATACAGATTTGGTTGAGATCTGGAGGGGGGGAGGGAGCTACCGTAGAAAGGGGAGGCAGACTGTGTACAGTTAAAAATTATAAAATGGGGTAGGGAATACTGGAGATATTTGTACAGAAGAAAAGGATATTTATATATTTTCTTAAAAACAGCAAATTTGCTGCTTGTGCCATAAAAATTTGTATAAAAAATAAATTTGTACTAAAAGTTTTATTTTTGCAAGCTAAATACACAAAGCATGCCTTAAACCCAGTGAAGTGACTGAGTACAACGGAAACAGGAATGGTAAAGGCATCCCTGACTAGGAATGCCTAGGTTTTATCGATACCAAAAAGAAGATGAAGGCCGTGTCAGAGCAACAGACGTTACAGGTGCTTGGTCGTGGCCAAATAGCCTTCATGCTGTTGAAGGCTTCGCCCAGGAAAGGGGGGGGCGGGCATGAAGGGATTTGTTTTCTCGTCCTAGAGAAATCCAATCATTTTAGTCAGGAAAATAGAGATATTTATGAAAATCCATTTTGAGTGTTGCCATTGTAGGTGAGATCGGCTGTGTGGTAAGACCCTGTGGAGCTGCTCGTGAGAGGCTTCTGTCTTTGCCGTCGGGCCCACACCCCTGTCCAAATTGTAGTCCTCTCTCGACTTGCTGCACCTTGAGGCCTCCCTGAGCAGCTCTAGGCAGTTTAGCCGAGTTGTCCCATTGTTTTAATCTGAGGAATTTCCAAAATTAAGATTTGATTTCCATGACTTTGCACACTCCATTCATCAATAGGCTTAGCTCTTCAGTTTGATTGTTGCTCCATATAGATCCAAAGTTAGACCTACTATTGCTCCTCTATGTCTAAGATTATTTTAATTAATGCTCATTAAAATTATTTTTGACAGCGTATAGACAGTTTAAGAATTACAAATTTAACTATTATTGTTTTTGTTGTAATCATATGTCCTTGCAGCACTTTCAGCATATAATATCACAATACAATTTTTTTGTTTTGTTTTGTAGTTTTCCTAGTAAAACATTTAAATATGTTCTGGCTAGAGAGCATCTATTTAAAAGGAGGGCTTTTGATATCATTAGAAGATGTTCTCTTTTCTGTATTAACCGTTTGCCATTTGTATGTTCTTTAGCCAGTTTTGCTCAGAATGATGTCTACATACATACCTCTTCTAATATGTGACATGAATTTAATATCTTCCTGATACCCACTGTGAATGTTAGATTGTGTTCAAATTATCCACCAATGGATCTTATAATCACCTTTGGTACATTTTTATATGTGTTGTCCCTCTCTCATTATGGGTTAAGATGACTTAATAAACTGAGAAAAGTGGATTAAATGAGAAGGCAGACTGTTAACGTCTCAGATGTCAGAACTCGAGTGGAGGGAAATAATGGAGATCTCTGGTGTGATCGGTCTAGTGAGGTACTGGGGCCGCTCTGTCTTCAGCTATCAGAGCTGACCTGTGGAATAATCCTAGCTCTGCTCTGCTGCCTCGCCAGAGTTCAGTTCTGCTGCTTTTTAGATGCTTTCAGTGGAAAAGGAATGTGCTGTTAAACTGTGTTTTCCCTTTGTAGGTATTAGTTGGCATCCAGTGATTGCCCTCCCACCCCTCACCCCCACCCTCATTTTGTCTCGCTGAGGCCTCGCTGGGTTTTAGGGCCCAAGAGAAAACAATACTAGAAAGGATTTAGAATTTTGGCAGGGCTAAAGTAACTTTTAAGCAATTTAATATTATCTACAGCAACTTTTTTAAGGGAAACCATGTGGTTTCAGAATAATGCCCACATTGTTGGGACAGCTTATCTGACTCCGGTGTACTTGCTCTGGACAAAGGGTAGTCCATCAGTCTTGCATTTCAGTCAGATGAGCACGGACTGTTGATGGAGCAGTGCTCATGCTAAGACGGCGTGGACATGGTACCTGCATTGTGACACCTGGGGACAGGTGGTTCTTAGGCAAAGATGGAAAGGTCAGCAATAACGGGGTCTCAATTAGAATTTGAGAATTCTGTGTTTACATTTTTTTAAATGTGCATCTTTATCTGGTGGGCTTCCCATAAGGAAACTTGCACTCTAATGAACTAAGAAGAACATTGCCTTGGTACATCTCAGTCCAAGTGCTGGTACTGTGATGGCTGTGGCCTCTCCGTGCAAAATACTAGTCTGTGTGCCAATTTGTTTGAAATTGCCTGAGGGCACTTCAGCTTAACCAGCGTATCCTCTTTCAGGAGTGGGTGAGTTGAATCCTTATTAATGGAGCATTGATAAATCCAGGAGAGCGTTACCACCTCCTGCCATACGGACAGCTAAGCCTAAGTAAACCACATCTTGTGATTAAATTCAAAAGCTTTAATTCAAAGACCGAGGTGAGAAAATGAGCATTCAAAAGCACAACTTGAGGGAAAACAAAAGGAAACGGCTACTTTTAATTTGGTATGTTGCTAGATTCTTTATCTAAGGGGGAAATAAGTGACACTCCACTAGATTCCTAAAATACAAAAGTATGTGTGTCTTCAAGATGCCTACCTACTGCTGTGGCTACGATGATGTGAGGACTGAGCTATAGTAGAGCGAGCATACTTTCCCTTCTGTGCAGAAGCAGTGTTTTTAACTTAGACTTTCAGAGTTGTCTCCTGTATGCACTATCCCAAGGGTTTTGCTGCTTAAATCAGATAGTGGCAAATTCCCAGGATTAAAACAGTTAATGGACAGAATTTTCTCAGCATTAATTTTTCTTCCATGAAATTTTATTATACCTTTGGCACTTACTGCCACTCAGCTACGCTTAACATATCATGATAAAATCAAGGAGACACATTGATCTCCTAAAAACTGTAGTTGTTTTCATTTTAATATAAAAATTCTTCAGAAATCAGAACCTTTCGTGAGACTTGAGGACAACTATTTTAGAGGCTATATTTAGAAATGAAGACTTTAAAGTACATTTCCATCGAATATAGACCAGCAATGTGGGGGACTTTTAGCAGTAAAACTTTAGGATGATTGAGGTTTGTATTTGTTCATCATTTTAACATATCTTAAAATCGGTGTCTTTGTGGATGGCCAGCTCATAGACTATTAAGATGCAGAAATAGCCATCATTAATTTCAGAATCTAAAAACTAGGGGTCTGCTTTGAGGGGAAAACAGTTTTTTTGTTGTTTTACCATACAAAGTCCATACAAGGTAGCGTTTCTAGCTACCGCTTACCAACTAGCCTTTTGAAGATACCTATATATGTATGTATTTGGTGACCTGGTAGAATAATTATGGTAGAGGAGGCGATTGACCCGTTTCTAGAGGATGGTTCTTTTTGGACGTTGACTTTTTGCTATGGAAAACGTGCCACTTCATTGATTTGTGTGCCATGGAGTCGCATCTTGGTGACCATGACCGATCTAACAGGATTCTTATCCAGAAATCTTGAACTTTTCTCACCTCAATATGCTGTGCTTTTGACGTGGACAGTCTGTGCTCAGGACAGTCTGATGTCACATCAGGTATGTCTAGAGTGTGCATATGAGTGAGTGAGTACCTATGGATCGGTTGGCAGACAAATTGTTGGGCATCCACAAATGGTTGTAGACTTAAGTTTAGACGTGAACTGAGTCCTAAAGAGATTTGTAATCATGTTGTTTAGAACATATGATCAGACTTCTTAAACTCAAGAAGAAATTTAATTTTACTTGGCATTCTTTGCCTATCCCAGCACCTAGAGTGAGCCATGATATATAGCGATGAGTTTAAAAGCACTGTGTGACTCTGGGATTGGCATCATTTATAACAGTCTCAAATTTTTCAGCTTTTGGAAAATTTTAGAACAGAGGACTCTGAACCTGAACCCTAAATTTAAGATTCATATTCATTAAAGTTAATTTTGAGCATCATGAGTCCTGGTCCTCAGATTATTTTTGTCTGACTTGATTCTGATAACATTTCATTGAGAATATACTTAGAGAATGAAGTTCATTAGAAATAAATTACTGGCCTTAATCTGCAATCCAAGTAAACTTCGAGGTAAAAATTTTAAGCCATTCTTAACGCCTATTGATGAAAAATCCATATGATTTTACAGACAGAAGTATCAATCGAGTAGTACCCTGTACTCAGAAGTGAAATGTAGACCTAACATAGACTAGCTTTTGGATTTCCCATCATCTCTGGAAGAGTTCACCCCAGGCAAACACCAAAGAATTATAGGTTTCCTTTTGCTTAGTTGTCCACTCTTGTATTTTTTAAAACAAATTTAATCAGAGAGGAGGGATCTATATACATATACACATATGTATAATGAGGGAAATTCAAAGAATGTAATTTCCCCTACAATCTGTGTGTGTATACATCCATCCATACATCCATACATACACTAAAAGGAAATCAACTGTTAGGTACCTGGGTTGAGGAAAGGAAATTTAAGAGAGTAAGAGGGTACTAAGATGCTTAAGCTGACGAACCTTATATTTGCAAGTGAAGGATTTGGTGCTGCTTTTGGATGTTTATTCTTTGTGTTTTATTATTATTTTTCCTAAGCTTTAATCTTTGTCGTTGTCTTAAAGTCAGCTGGTGTTTCTTGTTCATCGACTTTGGTACGATGGTGCTTTGCAAGGATGTATTTATATTATCATGGCCAACATTTGGTCAGCCCTTGTCCACTGTTCACTTCCCTCTTTTTGTAAAATAAGTGCTTTAATTGTAAACTGTATAAACATACTTTGTATAAATTCCCTTTTGATTATTGCAATAAGCTGAGTTGTAACAAATGAAATGTTGATTTTTATAATAAAACAGTGGAAAAATAAAAGTGTCATTTCCTTACAGCAGAAATTTGAAACAGTAGCTAGCTGTGGTTTGCTGTGATGCAAATAAGATTATCACAATCCAGACAAAGCAAAGCCCACCTCACATTTGCATTTCAAATGGAAACACTACGACTGCCTTGGAGAAGAGAGGTTTGAGAAGTTCTTAGTTATGAAAAAGTTTTTCTTAGTTCTCTTCATTGCTTAGTTAATAATTCTTGTCATTGGGAAGGTGACTAAGGAAACCCATTTTCTGTAAATTTCTGGAGGGTGTGCTGATGTGTATGCTAAGCTCCAAGTTGGCTTACAAAATGGACTTCTCTTTTCTGGTTGCTAGGCCCAACATGATGTGGTGGTACTTTTTTCATAAGGATGGAAGCGGTTAAAATCAATGGGAACTCACTGGATCCCCGCTTGAGTCTTGGGCGCAGAAGCTGTGTATTTATTTGCCAAACATGTTGAGCTCAAATATCAAGAGGTTACATGGAAACCAAGTTTTAATACACTGGTCTTTCCATAGCAGGTATTCTCAAATAAGACACACTTAACATGACTTCTTCGGTGACTCATCTCATTCTTTTATCTCTGGAGAGAAAACTGAATTGCATAAAGTGTGCAGTTCCTATTTGAGTCACAGGATGTGAGACTGCCGGGGAGCAAAATTAGGGACCAAGATCAGAGACATTGTTCCCTCCTATAATGGAATGGGCTGGGAGCTCAGAAATCCTGGTACCGGCAGGCCTTCTGAATTAAACCATTAAACATTTTTTTAAAGAACTGAGATTTACCTTGTGGACTGTCCCTCACCCTTGGGACTACATTCCCCAGAACTTGCTGCCCGATGTCATCTAGTGGGGACAGAGCATTCCTGGACTGGAGTTCCAAGATGGTCCCTTGTGGGACTCTTGAAGCCTGGCTGTTGGGAAAGGAAACTGATATTTCAGCTGTACCAGTTATGCAGCTACTCCCTTCTGGGAGCTTCTGGTACTCTCCAGCATTGCTCTGTGTCTGAACAGAGAACATTTGGTAAAGACAAGAACCGAATTCTGGTAACAGAAGGAAAGACAAGCTTCCTGTGGGAGCGGAGAACTCCAGTGCCTTGAAGAATGGACTCATCGGTCAGCAAGACCCTGCAGTTGATGTTGAGTCCTCCTATGTAGATTTCCAGCTCAGTGTCCACAGTGCTTGTCACGGTAATCCTGGCTGTTGTGTATGGTGGCATAGCTTTGAAAAGTTAACTCCGATGACTACTACCCTTGGACCTCGGGTTCTGTCAGCTTGTACCATCGTGCAGGTAATCACGGTGTTTTGTTTTGTCCACTGGAAAATCACCATGTGAAACCTCCTTTCCCTCACGTTTCCCTCCACTTATTTTACCCTAGACACCGCGAGAGTGATTATCCCTCAAATGTTCACACTTTAATGACCAAGGCTAACAAGGAAATGTCCAACTTGAGTCTTGAGAAGCCTGTTTTTATCCAGGTCTCTGGGGTCCGTGAAATTGAGGGGAGCCAACAACGTCATTGGCCTGTCGGTGCCCTTTGAACCCTAAGACACTGCTTTTCCAGGGCAAACAAGCCCAGGAAGCAGCTTAGTGGAGACGGTTCTGCCTTAGTCATTGGGCTCTTTTGGAGAAGTGCAGCCAGGCATCCCAGGGGCTGACTGGAAGCTGTTTTAGGATATATGGCACTGTCTTCATAATTGTTTATAACTGACCCTGACACTCCACCTGTGCACCAGAAGCCACGAGGTAAAGCTTTACAGTCACCTTCAGGAAACTGCCCTGGCCGGACCCCACTGACACGATGAGTCTCGTCACCTGTGCCCCTCCCCTCCTCTGAGTGCCTTCCCCAATACTCGCAGCTTGCCGAGGCCCATTCAAATCATGCCCATTCACCATCAGTGTAACAGTATGAGAGGTTGGAAGCTCCAGTGCCACGGCCATTGGGGCGGTTGGCAGTGGGGGGTAGGGAAGGGAAAGGGCACCAGATGGAGACCTAGATTCACCTCCGCTTCTCACCGGTCAACTGTCCAGGCATGTCTGGAGTCACATTCTGCCAGAATGTATTTGTTGGTACAGTTTCTAGTATAGAGTTCTCTGAATCTGGATCTTGAACCTTGATTGTTTTTGTTTAAAAGATATATAACCTTATTGAGGTAAATTGACAAACTGCATCTATTCAAAGTATACAGTGCTCTTTCAGAATGTACATCCATGAGATGATACAATCACGAACTAAAGAATGTCAGTCCCTTCTTCCCACCCTTCTTTGTCTGTAGGCACCCAACAATCTTTGTCACTATAAATCATTTGCCTTTTGCACCCAAGTTTAGATGCCACAGCACGAGGCTTGTGGAAGGCTGCGGTTTGCAGCAGGAGCCCTAACCATTTTGAGTTTTAGTGTACATTCAGCCTTCCTCGAAATTCATTCTAACTATAAGCCAGCAGTGTGGCAGATTTGCCCTCAGGCAGTGTGTGTTTGAGAGTAGATCACAATTCTGCAAAGGCCTTCGCCTGGTGTGCCCGCAATGTTTGTAGATGGTGTCCTGTGAGGCTGGATGTGCTGCTGGCTGATTCCGGCAGGCGGTAAAGCCCCAGAACCAATCCTGTAAGCCATTTAATCTGCAGTTGTGTGGACATCCCCAATCATGGGCCTTTCACCCTTTCTGTCGCTCGAATCATGTACTGCTCTGCACCGGTCATTGCCATCGCCATCTCTTGATAGCCTCATCACCGTCCTCATGCTGGTCCCCTCCTGTGGCTGCTTTGTCTTTGCTTTATCTTAGTCCTGCGGAAGGCTTCATGGAGGGAGTTCTTTCAACTGTTAATGCACACAAATCCACTGCCAATCATAGAATCTGAGGCTGTCGATCTTCATAGGAATAGGGAGTCCCATCTTTCTCCCATAGAGCAGCTGCTGGGTTTGAACCACCAACCTTGGCAGGATAGCAGTCCAACAAGAACAGATCTCTGGGGCTTTGCGGGGCTCTATTTGTCTCCTCTATGTGACCTGCAGATGTTCGTTGCTGCGGCTTTCTTGGACTCCCAGCTCTACCCCTTCCACAGGGAGACTGCAAAGCCCCTCCTGGGTTCCCTGCCTTCACACGGTCCGATCTGTACCTGCAGGCTTCAGGGCCTTGCTCAACTCACAGGAGTCCACCCTCATTACCTGAAACGCATTGTCCTGAAAACTTGTTACATGTGGCCATGAGAGTGTTACTTTGAGAGAAAAATGGGACTGAGTTTGGAAAGATGGCCTGGAGTTGGTTGCATTTCTGGAAGTAGGGTGGGGAATGGCATAGAAGGAGCAAGTGGAGCAGGAAGGAAGAGCATTCCAAGCTAAGAAGAATACGTCTGGTTTTTATGAGGTGAGTAGGAATGAAGTACGGGACTAATTTTCCCTTGAACTTGAAAGTGCATCTAATTGAGTGAGTTATTCATTTGTTTATGAAAGCTTGATTAGGCACCTATACACATGAGGCCATATGCTGCGTGCTATGTGTGCAGCATTTGGTCAGACTGTAGTTTGATAGTATTTTTACATGTGTATTTTAAACACTAGGGAGCATAGTCCACCCAATAGAACACCTCGTTTTGCAGAGTACCAATTTCAGTAAAGTGTGTGATGGAGAAAGAAGGAAATGTTCATCCTGGTTAGGACAGCACGTAGTAGGGAGCATAGAGTAAGGGTTCCTAGGGATCCCTGATGGTGGACAGATGACTTGGGCTGCTTACTAAAGTCAGCCGTTCCAACCCACCAGTTGCTCCGCAGTAGGGAGACGAGGTCACCTGCTGCTGTCGAGATTGATGGTCCCAGAACCCCACGGGGGCAGAACTTCTCTGTTCTACAGTGTCACTCACTACGAGTCAGAGTGGACTTGATGGCAGTGGGCTATCTACGGGTAGGTACTGCTTGTTATTGGCAGTGGTCTGTATTTTCCTTTCCAGCTACTAGTCATTACCACAAAGAATAGCAAAGCTAGCCCAGAGACCAGAAGTGGAGCGATTGGTCACAGAAAAGAGAGGGGGGACCAGAAGTAATAGTTGTCTGCCAGATGCAAGTTTTTCAAGCTGCCAAAGGAATTTTCACAGTCACAAAGGCAAACTCCTTACCTGCCACCGCCGCCTCCTCTAGCAAAGAATTGGGGCAGTGAGCATTATGGGTTTCTTTAAGCAACATTGATTTACGTTCAGTCAGCTCATGAACATTAGTGTCCTAAAGGTAGGCTTGTCACCCTGTCTCTATTACGTCATTCCAAGTGGGTTTTAAGAAATACATAGGACTAGAAACCAGAGTAAGCCATGCAGAATTTATCATGTTGCCCTCGCGAGGCCGGCAGGCATCTGTAGCACACTTGCCCTAAAGAAGCCAGTAGAGCTAGGAAGGTGGTTACTCCTGGGAGTTTGTAAGGAGAACTGCTTTCCATGGGGTCTTCTTCCCCCGTGGAAAAACGCCCCTGTCAAGGATGGGCCGTGCTGAAATTCCATGAGCTGGAGACCAGCGGGGCCTCTCCTGATGCCTCCGTTCCCGTGGTTTCGGAAATGCCAGCGTCCTCTTGGCCTTGGTCTTGGCCATCTCTGTTTTGCCCACTGCCGATCGAGTGAAGTACACGGGGCCACGGCTGAATCACGAGTATTCCAGATGACGCTCTTCCATGTTTCAGTCTATTTCTTCACGTGGTACCCCCAGGACTGTTTCCTACAGCGGGGAAAGAGAAATGGATTCTTAAAATTCCAAGTTGGAGTCACTGTTTAAGTGAACACATCTGCCTGTTAGCTCTGCTCTCTTATCCCAGGCAGGGCCCAAGGCTGGTGAGGAAGGGTTGGGGGAGGGTCTGAGAAGGTGACTGGCGTCCTGGCAGGCCTGCAAGGAAAGGATCAGCGAAGAACTGCTGCACCGCCAGGGCCTTGCTTCCTGATGGGAGGAGGCTTCGATGCTGCGCTGCGTTTAAAATTCAAAAGCAGGTCCTGAAAGGTGGCGCTGCTCACCCATTTGAAAGACCCGTTCGTTCGTTTGTTATTCTACACGTAGCAGGGGAGCGCCCATGAGGTATAAAAGAACGATGGAGCTTTAAAAAGGCGTCATACGTGCTCAACCCCGGCAAGGCTGCACTTCCAGTGGGCAGGTGAGAGGCCTCATAGGAAACCCTGAGCTCCTGGGAATCCTGCGCGTGAGAAGACCTTTTCTTCCTTCCACTCCTCACCTGGACCTTGCAGTGGTGCTCCACCTTCCTCATGCCTGACCCTTTCAGACGGTTCCTCATGTGGTGGTGACCCCCACCATACAATTATTTTCATGGCTATTTCATCACTGTCATTTTGCTACTGTTATGAATCGGGCAACCCCTGTGAAAGGGTCGTTTGACCCCCAAAAGGGTCATGACCCACAGGTTGAGAACTGCTGTAGCGGGTCACCAGATGCCTGGGGTCAATGGGCGTCCTGGGGATTTGCCACCAGGGCTCCTCTCTTCACTAGAGACTGAACACAGGGCCCCATCTCTACAGCCTGCAGACTTCACAGATGTGCATGGACTCATTGAACAGCGAGCGGCCTTTTTTTTTTTCCTTTCTCAACCTTTTCTGTGTCCGTTTGCAAAAACCAGCCCTTTTCTATTGGATTCTTTTCCCTCTCACTCCTAATTTCCAGTTACATGCTCCAAACTAAATCTAACTACACACAAGTATTCAAGGTCGGGGTTTTGATGATGTGGAGCTATAAAGTAATACATTTTGAATTGAAACTGCAGATGATAAAGAACTAGTACCATCAAATTCTAAAGCCTCAGAGGGGAGGGGGGTTCACTTAATTGGTTTTTACTGGGGGGGGGTGAAGCCCTCTTTTCTCTAATTGATTCTACTTTTCTCTCTAGCAGTCAAATAATAATTTATATTCATGCCTCTTTATTTGATTACTAAAATTAGTCACCCTTTATAACAGATTTATTGAAACATAACTGCATGCTCTGAAACTCACACTTTCAGGGGGTTCAATGCTGTATGTACTCCACAGACTTGCATAAGCATCAGCTCTACCTGAGGAAGGACAGATAGAACTGAAATGATATTGAGGGGTCCAGCCTCCTCTTTAAAAAAACAAACAAACTTCAATGCCTTCAAATCCATGCCAATTCACAGCAACCCTATCTAAAAGGGAGGGAAGAACTCCTGTGGTTTCTGAGACTAACTCTTCACGGACTAGAACGCTCCGCCTTCCTTCCATGGAGCAGCTGGTGGTTGGAACCGCTAACGTTTCCATTCGCAGCCCAACAAGTAACCACTACAACCCCAGGGCTCCTGTTGGCACTTGTTAAGGAGATTGGATTTAGCATATGTAAGAGTGTTCGTAGTTCACATCAGCTTGGTTGTCATTGCGATGCTGTCAGGCAAAAAAGTGGAAAATAGAAACAGAAAACTAGGTAGGCTCAGTGGCCATCACTAAAGACCATGGCAGGCATCTAAGGCCCTCAACCAAGATTAGCTGGGCTTGGCTTCTGGCACCTGAAAGAGCAAGGCTGTTTGGAGCCCGCAGGGCCACCCTGGCCATCCTAGGGCCCTCTCAGAGCTCCCGCTGACCTCCAGGGTCATGTGGGGGTGAAGACTTACCACTTACAAACACCTTGGGTGGACAAGGGACGTCCTGGCCCTCTTGAGGTTTAGAGCGCTGGGGTAGAACATTTTGGCAAGGGAGGCCGTGTGTAGCCATTTGAAAAAGGCCGTTTTCAGGAGGCCTTCAGGAATGGGACACAGATGAGTGAGTCAGGGGGGACGATGTCTGTTTTGCCTGAAACCAGCCATTTAAAGCAGATAGACATTGAACTGCCTGCTTTTCAGTTTGAATCAGATTGTCCCAAGCAAATGATTATGTCAGAGTGCTAGTGAAAAATATGCCAGGGACCCTGACTTTGCATGAGGATCACCCTACACACACGCTGTCACGTCTGAGAGTATGAGGAAGAACTGTCTGCCTCCCCTTGTCTCGTGGCCAGCCCCCACAGCCTGCAAATTCAGTGCAAACAGGAAGGATCTCTCTGTAAATACTTTCTATCCCAGCATCTCCTCATTTCCTGTTACACCTGACCACCTCCCTACCCCATACACATAACCCTTGTACCATTGGGTAGCTCAGTAAATATTTACTGATGATAAAGCTGATCACTAAAAATAGGTCCCCATCAAATGGGATCTCTCTTGCCACTCTAGTTTCCTAAGCCCATGAGAACTCGTACACATACCGTATATAACTGAGTATAAGCCAACCCGAATACCCGCCGAGGCACCTAATTTTACCACAAAAGCGGCATTAAAAATGTGCTGAAAAACTCAGCATATACTCGAGTGTATCTGGCATGTGTTCCTTTCCAAACTCTACCCATTCCTCTTCCTCTAAGTTCTGGAAAGATTAATTTTTAAATAGAAGGCACTTACCCATCCACCATGCTGTTGGACCCAGGGTGAGAAGTTCTCTTTCAAGTACTTGGTCCCAAAGCCCAGCACCCTGTTCATGGGGTGGTTGTCGATGGCTGTGAGCTTGGCGGCGACATCTATTGCAAGGGCGGCCTTAAAGCCCTGAGCTTTGACCTCGGATTCTCCTCGGGTGTCCACAGCTTTGAGGAACTGATCTGTGATGGTCCTGAAGACGGAGTAGGTCAGCCCCTCCTGGAAAGTGCTCATCAAAGCCTTGTCTCTCCTCAACTGTGTATAAGAAGATATGCACTCAGGAGAGCAGCTGGGCCCAGGGCTGTATCTAAAAGACCACCCTTCAGCTCAGCAGTAGAGCACCCAATGGAACAGCCTTGTCTTCTAGTCTCGACCATGACACCAGTGCTGCTTAACCGGATAAGCGTCTGCTGTTGGGAAGATCATCTATCTCTGCCTCCCACCCAGGTCACGTATCGGGGATCTTGAGGTCAGAATTCTCTGATAATGAGACTGAGAACTGGATCTCTCTCTCAATCCTATTCTTCTCAGAGCAGCTTCCCTGGCTGTTCATGCATGGACACCAGAAGGCACCAGGTCAAGCACACTTCTACTTCTGCGCCCAGTGGGAAGAGCACAGGTTCTCTCACTTGCAGCACAAGAGGGTCGTGCTTGTCCTGCACCTGAGGAAGCAGCTCACTTGCCCAGGGAGACCAGAGACCTTGCTCTGTCTCTTCTCTATGTGTGATTTGTGTCTTTCATGGGGGACCTGCACCTTGATAAGGTACTTGCTCTGTGAATTCATTTCATGAGGACTTAAGTGATAACATTGAAAAATGTATTAGCTCAACATTCCACTAATGTTATCTGAGCACTTAAAATGGGCAGGCACTCTGTCAAGCAGAGGGGATGTCAGGATGGCTGAGACCCAGGTCCTGTCTCAGGGGCTTCAGTGGTAACTAGTTTGCTAAAGGTGGACTAATAGGCAGGAGCCTGGAATTCAAACCATCTTGGCTCACACCTTTTACTGGCTGTTGGGTGAATTACCTATCCCTTGGGCTTACTTTTCTCATGTCTAAAGTAGGACAAGGCTGGATCCTATAAAACCAAACCCAACCCATTGCCATTGAGTCAATTCCAACTCCTGGGACCCCTATAGGACAGAATAGAACTGCCTCGTGGAGTTTGTAAATCTTTGGAAACTGTAAAATCTTTTTGGAAACACACTGCTTCATCCTTCTCTGGAGTGCCTGGTGGGTTTGAACTACCAAGCTTTCGGTTACTAGCCCAATGCTATGCCAACAGGGCTCCCTTTAGAACTAAGTATATATCAAAAAACTTGAAAGCAGAAGTTCAGAGACTTGTACACCAAGGTTCCTTACAGCTCTAGTCACAACGGACCCAAATGGTGGAACCAGCCTCAGCGCCCACTGCCAGAGAGGGATGAACAAACGGTGTTTCGTCCACAATGGAATACTACTCAGCCTGTAGAGGAAATGAGCCTTTACACACGAGATGGCATGGATGGCACTTGAAGAGATTATGCTGAATGAAATAAATCACTCACAAGAGGACAAACACTTTTTTTGTCTGACATCACTCGTGAAAAGACAAGAAAGGGAAAATAAATGTACAGAGACCGAAGTTTATTAGTCATTACAAGGGATGGGTGTGATGTGGGCTGCTAACCACAAGGTCAGCAGTTTGAATCCATCAGCTGCCCTGAGGGAGAAAGATGAGGTATTCTTTGCCACTCCGGGAATCCTAGGGAGCGGTTCTGCTCTGTCTTAAAGCGTTGCTATGAGTTAGAATGGACTTGATGGCACTAGGTTATTTTAGTCATGGAGGGAAGGCGGGAGAAGAGGCTAACTGTGATGGGAAAAGTCACATTGGTTAAGGGCAAGTTTGCGTAGCTGATTATTGTACTTGAACTGGTAAAAGTTGTGCGTTCTAGATGTATTTACAACAACAACATGAGAGAGAGAGAGAGAGAGAGAGAGAGAGAGAGAGAGGAGCTGCTGAGGCAGCTAAAATACAACCACAAACCTCATGGGATTTGTTTCCTTGGTTTGAGGTTTAGGGTCATGGCTGCCAGGAATATTTCAGTTAATTGGCCTAATGATATGTTTTGTACTTTCCTTCTACTGCCTGATTTATCCGGTAGTGCCTCAGGTCTTTACAACTTGCAAGCAACCATTCAAGGCATGGCAACTAGTCTCCTAAAGCAACAGAGGAAAAAGGAGAGTCGGGAGTAGGAGGAAGAGATGGAATGTGTGGCTAATTGTTGAACAACTGCCTTCTTTGCCATGAGGCCAGAAGAACTGAATGGTGCCTGGCTAGTGTGACTGAACATTTTGATTCTAAGGATTCTATAGAAGAATTATGATCAAAAGGGGGGACGTGTAGAAGGGTTTCAAATTTCCATAGGAAAGTTCCACTTTCTAGAACCATAGGGGCTGGATGAGCCCCTGCAACAACTGCACTGAAATAATCTTGAAAACTTAAACTGAAAATGTCCCCTGCAGTTGGCTTCATACTCAAACACAGAAGCTCATTGTCACTGAGTCAATCCCGACTCCTAGGTAGAACTGTCCCTGTGGGTTTCCCAGACTGTAACTCTTCATGGGGGTGGAAAGCCCTGTCTTTCTCCCGAGGAGCGGCTGGTGGTTTCAAACTGCGGACCTTGCATTTAGCCACCCAACACGTAACCACACCACCATCAGGGTTCCTTTCTCCTGGCTGCAGGGCAAACGGAGCCCGGTGCTAGCTTCACGGAGGATGGGTGACATGGGGAGCTAGATTAATAACAATGCTCAGCAGTTTCTAATGCAATAGTGTCTTTTCTTGCAATAACAAACTTACTTTTTTCGTTTCCAAAAAATTCCAAGGAGGCCCCAGAAGATTTACTTATGTTTTCCAAAGTGATTCATTTTTGAGATACTGCCAGCATGAAGCATTTTGACTCCAAGGGAAATAAAATTTAGGGCTAAGTGGAAACCAGAACTCTGCAACGGAGTAAGGTTGCCACCCAGGGCATAATTCCATCCTAGTGGGCCAGGTGCAAGGGCACTGAAAGAAACCCCATTCGTTTATTTAGGAAGCTTCATACCTCTCTTTCCAACTGATCTCCTGAATATTTCAGCAACTCCACAATTTTGGCTATTATTTGGTCTTCTCCATCTGTCAGGGAGGAAATAGAGAGAGACACAGGGCATGGGGCAGGGGTGGGGGTGGGGGAGGTAAAATTGTTCCAGGTTCAACATGGAGGGAGAACTAGGCTTTCTGATTCTTAACACATTTAATTTTACCTCATCTCTTCTGATCAGACCCATACTATCCCAGGCATCCTTTCCCACTGTCTTGACTTTCTTTTTAGCCTCTTCTGCTTGGTTTCTCAGTTCTCACCATGAAATCCATCTCTATATTTACAATAGTTCCAGTACACTTGATCCGATCTATGAAGATAATTAGGAGACATTTCCCTCTGGGCAGTTGGGTTTTTTTTACTTTTCCCCCTCACAGAGTCCAGAAATTACATATTTGACTACATGCCCTTCTTTGTGTGAGCTCGTGGGGCTGAGCAGAGCCAGATTCGTGGCCCACCTCAAGAAGGCTGTGCAGTCTTTCTGGCCTGTATTTTGGGAATTAACTTCCTACCTAAACACATTTTATTTTCTTGTTCTTGTTTTCGTTTATCCCTTACCACTCAATTTTCTTTTTTAACCTTACTAAAATCCATGCTTCCTTCTATACCGCATTTTAAGAACAAAGTGGCTGGGGATATTAGATATTAAAATAAATACACATTTTAAGTTCTTTTTCCCTAAAGGCCAACATGGCTGTTGGGTAGGGGTACGCTACAAACAGCTGGTGTGGTTAGGGGAAGCTGGGACAGAAAGGGAGGAGGAATGCTCTTTTTTCCTTTGTCTCAAAACTAGCTAACAACTAGACATGACAAAAAATTGTCCTGATAGCAAGGGATCTGAACAGTGGGCAGCCAGCTGCACCAAGGAAATGAGGAAACGGCACTCCTTGCTGACAGCCTCATCTCTGAAACCATTGAGTCTGTCCCAGAGAAGATGGCAAGGGAGGTCAGCCAATGGAGCTAGATTCTTTTTTTTAATAATCATTTTATTAGGGGCTCATACAACTCTTATCACAATCCATACACACATCAATTGTGTAAAGCGCATTTGTACATTCATTGCCCTCATCATTCTCAAAACATTTCCTCTCCACTTAAACCCCCGGCATTAGGTCCTCATTTTCCCCTCCCTCCCCGCACCCCCTCCCTCATGAGCCCTTGATAATTTATAAATTATTATTTTGTCATATCTTGCCCTGTCTGACGTCTCCCTTCACCCACTTTTCGGTTGTCTGTTGTCCGTCCCCCAGGGAGGAGGTCACTATAGTTCCTTGAAATCGGTTCCCTCTTTCTAACCCACTCTCCCTCTACCCTCCCAGTATCACCACTCACTCCACTGGTCCTGTAGGGATCAATGGATCTAGATTCTAGGAAGTCCCACGAAGGCCTAGTGAAGGGCAAAGTCAGTGCTAAGTGGGACGACTGGATCTCAAGTCACGTGAGAGGAGAGGTCCCGCCTCTGCTTCCCAGGTGTTGTTTGTATCATATGTTGTGTCTCTCTGGGAAAGTGGACCGCTCAGCTGCCTCCACTTCTCATATGCATAGAGAGAGGAGGAGGAGGAGGAGGTGGAGGAGGAGGAGGAGGAGGAGGAAGACGAGGAACTTTGGCTTGGTTGGGGGCTGTTGCTCCCAGGCACACTGGAGATAGCAAATAGAGCTCCCGGTATCTTCTTGTGTAATTGAAGTAGGTCCAGAAAGACCCTCCTCTGCAGCTCCTTACACTTTCACTCTCTAAGCCTCTGGGGCAGTGTGTGGTACACACACACACACACACACACACCACCCCTGACCCAACACAGCACAGCAAGGAGACGGGTAAGCTCACCCCTACACACACACACACACACACACACACACACACACACACACACACGCTGCCGAAACAGCACAGCAAAGAGATGGGTAAGCTCACCCCTTCACCTCACTCCCACCTTTGCTTCTGGCTGTGGGAGACTCCGTCCACCGCCCTGCAGGGAGAACTTGTGCCTGTGGTGTGGATTGCTGTCAACCCAGGGGCCACCGACACCTCAATCTGTCACCAGAGTTTGAGGAAAGAGCCAGGATCCCAGCTGGGGCCCCTCCCAGCCAGCGCTGCAGACCAGTAGTGGGCGAGCAGGATGTTCTCTCCCTGCCATCCTCCCTTCCGTTCTCCCACCTGGCCTAGAGCGGCCACACGTCCTTAGAGTCGGCCCCGCCTGGCCGCTGCTTCCAAGTTCTGCTTCCCGTCTGCACCTGCCCTGGTGTCGCAGCAGCACAACGCGACACTTTGGATCCCGGGGTAGACATTCAACATAACAAACACCAGGAAAATTTACCTTTCTTGGCACTCGCGCCTCTAGACTGGGGCTCCGGAACCTTTGAGCAGGTGGGCCCCTCCCATACAAAAACCCCTGGGAACCTGGAGCTGCCTCCCTGGGTGTGGCTGTCTTCCGGAGGTGGCCAGGAATGCACAATTTCAGCAACTCGGTTGGCAATGGAAACGACTTTGGGGTTCACAGCTGAAACGAGAAGAAAATGGAGCTGAAGCCATTTCCCCAGGCACCCTGGTGGCATAGGGGTTACCAGTTGGGCTGCGATCCCAAAGGTCAGCAGTTCGAAACCACTACCGGCTCCTCAGGGAGGCAAGGCTGGGCTTTCTACTCCCATCAAGTGTTACCATCTCAGAAACTCACAGGGGCAGTTCTACCCTGGGCGACCGGGTTGCTGAGCTGGCATCAACTTGATGGCAGCGAGCGTGTGAGAAGCCCGGCCTAGAAGCTCTCCTCTGTCCTGCTCGCGGGTCTGCGCAGCTGCCAGAAAGAGAGGAAATGGGTGCTGGGTGGGGGCATCATTCCTTAGACAGGACTGGCAGTTGCCTGGCAGAGTCCGGGATGGGGGAGGAGCTCACAGAGGGATGATTGTCACCTTGAAACAATTGCCCTTCTGCACCCTCTTTTTGAAGTCTTGCAAAATTAGGGTCCCCTTTCCCCTTTGCAAGGGAAGACACACGAAAGGGAGTGCTTAGTTCTTTGGTTGAGTGAATGCTCATTATGCTTTTATTGTTATTCCTCTTTCTGAACATCTTTTATACCTCAGAGAGCTGGCCCCTGTGTGCATTAGAGAGAATGCAATCACTGGACTAGCCTTTGGGGGCTGGTCAATGTGGAAAGAGGAATATCCCCTGCTCTGGGGCCAGAGTCATCTCCCTAGGTCCCTAAGTAAACACCCACCTCTCCTTCGGCTATGTTCTCATAGCTAACTGATACTGCCTGGGGCAACGAGGATGCATCAGGAATTTATAACCATGGCCCTCAGGAATTTATAACCCAGGAAAAGATGTAGGGTACGGATCTGTACACACTCCAAGACCAATCAAAGCGTATGGGGACACGAGGGTTTAAAAGGCATTGGTTCCCTGGATGTTTTAGCCTCAGAAGGTAAATCAGCTTTGTCTCAGCTTGGTTCGGGGCGGTGGGGCAGCACTGCTCAGATGAGAGGCTATTGCTGAGTTGCTGGAAATGATTCCATCACCCCCTAGTAGCTTAGTTTTGGTTTGTCTCTGAGTTCTTAACTTTCAGAAGCGTTTGCAGGCTCTGTCCCTGGTGCCCTAACGAGCGTGGAGCGTCACAGATTGTGGCAAGAATGACACCATTTAATTCACATGAGTTCAGGGAGTGAAAGCTGGATTGGAAGGTTCAGGTGTCAAGGGAAACTCATGGGTCTGCAAAGCGTGCACATCCTGCGAGAAGAGAGGCAAGACCCATGTCCAGGGAGGGATTGCGGTGCATGAAACCAGGCCCCAATTTGCTTGTGAGCTGCCATGGTGTGTCTGGCCCCTCCATAGCCCGCATGTCCATGTCCTCCCTCCAGCCCTCTGGGTATTCACTGAAAGACCCTAGGAGATAAGGTGCTTCCACAAAGTCTGCCTTAAGTGGGTATCTGGCTTAAAAATCAGTATTCTTCATGCTCAAAGGTGGTTCTCAACCTTCCTTGTGTGGTGGTGACCCCCAACCGTAACATTTTTGTTGCTACTTCATCACCATCATTTTGCTACTGTTACGAATCGGGCAACCCCTGTAAAAGGGTTGTTCGACCCCCAAAGGGGTCACGACCCACGGGTTGAGAACCGCTGTACTAGAGGGATCAAAAACAGAGAGGGAGTGAATCAGAGGGAGGAGCAGTGTCTTTTCCCCCCATTTTAACGACCAAACCAGACAGACTTCCCGCTTTTACATCACGTTACTGATGTCCATCCAGCCTCCTCTTGGACACAGGCCACCTCCTGGCCCCTGGCAAGGAAACGGCAAAAGACTTTCACCAAAGCCCATGGGAGCCTGCTTTGCAGCGTCTGCAGGAGACGGGGAAGGCAGGCTAACCTCTGCTATCTCAGCAGGCTCGTGCAGCCAGCCAGCGTGACCAGAGTGGGACTTTCCCACCAGAAGTCACTCAAAGTAAGCCGATGAAGGCCCCCCAAGGCTGTGCTGCCTCCACCACTGCCTCCCTATGTGGCAGGACCACCACGAGGCCAGTAGCCATCAAGAAGGACTCAGTCTAAGTGCGGTGTGTTTGGTTTGTTGCTGCCCACGGGGCTGTGGGCACGGAGGGAGAGCTGGGGGTGGAATCCATGCCCCAAAGCACTATGAGCAACTGCCTTTTGACCCAGATGAAATGCTCCCGTTAACATCTCCACCTTGACTAGTTTAATGTTTGGAACCTTTGAAAGCAGAACAGATTCCCCGATAGCCAAAGGAACCCTGGGTGAGAAGAGAAAGACTACTCGCTCTCTGGACTTCATCTCCATTGACAAGTCTCTTGGGCGGGACTCTAGTTTCCTTACGTGATCTGTGCCGGAAGGGCCCCAGATAATCCCTAATGCAGCAGTTCTCAACCTGTGGGTGTGTGGGTGTCAAACGACACTTTCACAGGGGGTTCCCGATTCATAACAGTCGCAAAATGACAGTGATGAAGTAGCAACGAAAATAACGTCATGGTTGGGGGGTCACCACACAGGAGGAACTGTGTGAAAGGGTCACAGCTTTAGGAAGGTGGAGCACCACTGTCCTAAGGCCTCCTGCCTACAATTCGCGAAGCCAAGTGGGAAATCGAAGTTTCCTCGGTGGCCGTGGTGACGGATGCAAAGCTGTCCCTTATGCTTGATGCTCCCAGTCAGCGAGACCCAGAGAAGCGTTTCTAAACTGAAGCCTTACCTGTTGACAAGTGACACAGCAGGAGGGAGAATTTCTCTGAAAACTGCATTTACCCCGGGCTTGTTGAAGGTGAAGAGGATGTTTACACCAACACGTGTGATCAAAGAACACCTTTCAGAGACACAGCCCTTTGGGAAAGAGGCTTATTTACAATCAGGTTCAATTTATTTTGTGAGGGAAGGGTTTTGTCGAGCTGCTTTCTGGGCTTCTGGGTTTTTGTTTTTTGGTTGGTTTTTACACGTTTTTTTTTTAAAAAGTGTGTCTGATCTTCCCATCAGCCCTAAGAGGGGAGGAGGGTGGGGACACCCTCAAACGGAGAGGTGAACCCACGCCCCCCTGGCAGAGCCGGAAGCCTAGACTGACACCTGGGCCATCCAGCATCCTTGCCGGCTGGGTTTGGAGAAAAGAAGGGCCACGATTACCAAAACGTCATAGCAGGAAAGCCAAGTCCCGGCGAGCGCCCTGGCTTAGGCCACACCCCACGACCGGATGGAGCGATAGAGCGATGGAGCGGAGCGGGTGACAGACAGCAGGGGTCTCCGCGAGCCTACCTTCCGGCTCCGTGCGATGCTCCACCAGGGAGCGCGGGGCGGACCAGCGCGGCCTGCGGAGGAAGCCGCCCGCCGGACTCTCCCCGGCTCGCGGACTCCCCTGGGCCCGGAGCTCCGGCCCGTCTTCCTCCTTCTCAGGGCCTGCTCCCAGGGACGGTAGCCAAGAAAACTTTTTCTTGGCCAGGTGTTTCTCCGTGGATTGGGAACTCCGGGAAGTCTTGGGCAACTGGATCCGCCAGGGGTCACTGGCTGACCAACTGCCCAGGCCTTTCTGGGACAAGCTGCGCGTCCGCAGCAGCTTTGGCGAGAAGGCGGGCGAGGCGCTCTTGGAGACGGAGACGTGGTGTCTGGCGTAGTAGGCCAGGATTTTGAACTCCAGGCTGCTGGACTCATCCTCATCCAGGGGGATTTCTTCCATGTCGCATTCACGGGCCGTGCACATGGTGGGCCTGCAACGACAGGGGCCTTTATTTGTGGGCGAGGGCCTGGTAGGTTGGAGAGCGACTGGGCTGAAAACTCAGCCCTCGCGGATGGAGCGTGCCCGGCAGCATCAGAAAGGGAACAAGTGTGGTTTCGGGGTGCCCACAGCCCCACGGGGATGTGTGCGGAGATCACCTCCCACAGTGTCATGTATGGGGACACAGGGAAGGATAGGTCAGTGGACAGAGGGATGCCCGAGGCTTCTCGAAGGAGAGAAAGACGTTGTTCGTGTTTTCCCAGGGTGCCCTTGAGCCAATCCAGACTCCTGGCGACCCCAGGTGTGCCAGAGTAGAATTGGGGTTCTGATGGTTCTCAGGGGCTGGTTTTTCAGAAGTCGATTCCCAGGACTTTTTTCTGAGGTGCCTCTGGAGGGCCTCGAACCTACAGCCTTTCAGTCAGCCACCACGCTGACAGCTGGCCACACCCCGGAACTCCTAGAAAGGGTCTAGTGAGGTGGATTTGGAGTCTAAGAAGAGGCGCCTCTGCGGGTGGGTTTAGGGAGAGCAGGAGGTCTGGCCAACGGAAGGAAGTGTGCTTTAGCCCGAGAGGCCAAGAGCCCCGCCACCCAGGCCAGGCTTCTGCCTGCCTGTCCTTTGCTGAACCCCAGCAATGAATGCACAAACACCCTGTTCCTGCTCTCCCAGCTCCTCTGACCTGTCACCAGCACCACCGCACACCCACAATTAGTTTGCTCATTAAAAGCAACAGCAACAAAACAAATCTTTAAGCACTGCCGGATGGCAAGGGAGTGCTCTGGGCGGTTGTGAGCAGAGAGCGATGCCATCACAGCATGTGCGGGAAAGCGTGTGCAAGCGATCAAATGATTAGATAGATAGCTTTCAGAAACGGATTTCGTTCCACTTCTCTTGTTTAAACCGCCACGGATAACTCCTCTTGTGGTTTCCTGGTAGGAAATTATCCACACCCCCTCTCCCCACCCCCACCCCCGATTTATGGGGCTTTCTGATGTCTCATGCTAAGGACTACATTTCCTTACATGCCAGCAAACCCGGATCTACCAAATCTCACTGGTCTGTAATACCATAGGCTGGGTAGACTGGAACACAGCCTGGGCTTCCCAGGCTAATCGTCCTGAGTCCAAACCCTGAGGGTTTGTCACCTGGGGTGGGCTGCTTCACTTCTCAGTAGTGTAGTTTCCTGGACGGATAAATACCCCAAACCCAAACTCATTGCCATCAAGTCGACGCTGACTCATAGCAACCCTATAGGACAGGGCAGAACGGCTTCTGTGAGTTTCAGACTGTCCCTCTTCGTGGGAGGAGAAAGCCCCATCTTTCGCCCTGGGAGAGGTCAGGGGTTTCACACTTTGACCTTGCAGAGAGCAGCCCAACGAGTAGGCTCTGCGCCACCAGGACTCTTTGGAATGGGGAATGGAGAGAGATGATACTCCTCTTACAGGATTGTGGAAGGAGTTCAAGCTAGGGAATAAGAAGTTTCAGCACAGAACCTAGCACATAAAGGTGCCTCCACAGTATTTGCTACTTTTTAATTATTATTATTATTTTGTCTCTAATACAGCTGTCCTCCAAAGCTCTGTCCTTAATGCAGCGATTATGGCACAGTGGGTTACATGTCCGGGCGTTGGATTTCTAACTGTAAAGTCTGCAGTTTAAAACCACCAGCTGCTCCTTGGAAGAAAGATGAGGCTTCCTCTTCCTGTAAACAGTTACAGTCTCGGAAACCCACAGGGGCAGTTCTGCCCTGTCCTATAGGGTCACTATGAGTCAGTATCGACTGATGGCAGAGAATTGTTATCTTACAGATATCTTTTGGCATGTAATTGATGGAATAATAAATTACTATGGTGATATTAGTGGTATCAACTAACACATCTTTCCTTTTCTTTGCACTGTACCCTCTTCTCACATGAGGAAGCATAACTATACAAAGCACCCTGGTGGCACAGTGCTTCAGCCTCGGCTGCTCACCAAAAGGTGGTCGATTCAAACCCATCAGCTGCCCCCCAGGAGGAAGACATGCCAATCTGGTCTTTTCCAGATTACAGCCTCAGAAACCCGCTGGGGGCAGTTCTGCCCTGCTCTGTGCGGCCGCGACGGAACAGCAGCAGCATTTGCGTCCAGTGTTTAAGGCAGTGTGTCAGGACACACGGACTAGACTGGGTGCCTGGAGGCTGACTGTCAGCGTTGGCTCAATTTCAAGTCGGAAATGTCCTCAGGCAAGTAAGTCACTTAATCCCTTTGGCCCCCGGTTTCCACCCTGTTAACTCAGGCATTTTCTGATTTTCCCTCTGGTTCTACTACTTGAAGGTGATGGAGGGGGTGGCCCATCTCCCAAGCAGGCCTGTGGATGCCTGGGGCTTCTTTTCTTTTGCCTGGGAGAAGCTCACACTGGCTGATGGACTGAACTCCAAGAAAGCCATGGTCAGGGGTGCTGATGGGAATGAGGAAGGGGGGGTGCTGCTGGGAGAGGCTGATGAAATGCTGAGACCTGAGTTTGGCACACGGAGTGTTGAAAATGGATCCAGGCTTGAGAGTTGAGAAGCCAACAAAAGAAGGTACCATCGGGCAGGGCTACAACGGGGTTTATAGTCAGAACCAGCTGTGCCAATGATCCCAGGCAGGGCCAGAGCTGGCCTTTCTAGGGGAGGCTTTCTCTAATTAAAAGAAAGAAAGAAAAAAACCACACTTCCATCGAGTCAAGTGAGTATCGCCCCTATAGGACAAGGTGGAACTGAGTCTGCGGGCTTCAGGGACGGAGGTAACTCTTTATGGGAGAAGAAAGCCTGTCTTTCTCCTGCTCAGCGGCTGGTGGTTTCAAACTGCTGACCTTACCTCCAGGGCTCCCTTCCAATTCAACGTTACCTTTTTAACAGGGCAGCTCAGAACACCACATCCAGGAAGTTCACTAGGCCCTACTAAGGGAGGGTGCCCTTGCACTGCACTCCACTCTGGGAAACCCTGTGTGGGCTCGGTGAAACTCCATGGAGGTCAGGATGAGTCAGATCGGACCTGATGGCAGTGGGTCAATTTTTTGGTGTATAAAATAAAACCACCAAAGTCACCGCCATCCAGTCCATGCCGATTCATAGTGACCCCATAGGACGAGCAGCACTGGCCCTGTGGACGTCTGAGACTGTCATCCTTATAGGAGTAGAAAGCTCCCTCTTTCTCCCGAGGAGCAGCTGAAGATTTCAAACTTTGGACCTTGCAGTTGGTGCCCCAGCTTGTAACCACTGTGCCACCAGGGCTCCTTACAAGAGCCATGGCATTTTCAATCACCTCATGGGCATGACACGGCTAGACAGTAAGTAGGACAGAACACAGGAACACCGGTGGATTTGAATTACGGAGTTGCTGAGAAATACTGCCGATATCATGACTGCAGAAGAAGTACAGCCGGAATGCTCCTGAGAAACACGATGAGACTCCATCACACTTACTTGCACATGTTACCAGGAAGAACCAATCCCTGGGTCAGGGCACTTTGCCTGGTAAAGGAGAGGGTCAGTGATGAGCAGGAAGACCCTCAACGAGATGGATTGATATAGTGGCTGCAACAGTGGCTGGGAAACCATTTTGATAGTAGCATGGATCCGGAGTCTTTGTGTTGTGCATAGATTGGATGACAACTAACACCACCAATATTATGTAGAAAGTAAATTCCCCCACCCCTGGTGATCGTGAATGGTAGTTGTTTTCTGTATTTGCAGCTATTCTTGTTATCTTAAAAAACAAGGTCGTATGCTACATGTCAGATGTCATACATTTCTCGCAGCATAACATCCTCCAGGTTAATCCGTGTTTCAGAAACTTACCTTTTCCCCCTTCCAGCTGAGTCATCGTTAATGCATGTCTATGATATGTGAATCCTGTCTCACTCTGTATTAGAATGCGTCCGTTTGGGGATGAGTGCTTGGGTTGTTTACATCTTTGGACTATGGGAACAGTGTTGCTGTGGACATGGGCATCCACATGCGTGTCTGTGTCGCCTCTATTGGATTTCTAGGGTGCATTCACGAAGGCGTGGAATTGCTGCCTCAGAGGGTAGCGCGATTTCTCTCCGTTGTTCAGAGCAGTGGCCACCCATCCGCAGAACAAGGCAGAGGCCAACAGACCTCGCGGCTGAGAAGGCAAGGACCGGAGAAAGACATGCTTGCCAAAGGAAAAGAACTGTGTCCTTAACATTTTGTAACTTGCTAGCTTCCTTCATAACCCCCACGATTGTGAGTATTGTCTGTGGGGAAAGTAAAGCAAGCGCGGGCTATGGATCGATCCCAGAGTGCCATTCTCACCCGCGGTTCATCTGAGGTCCACTGTGTCACCATGAGTCAGGAGAGCTCCAGAGTCACGACTAACAAAAGAAGCCACCAGGGGTGCGGCCCTTTGAGTGTCGGTGAGAACCTGCAGGAGAGAATTCGGCTCTACCCGGTCACACCTGCAACTTAGTTGTACCACCTGGCGATTGACATACTTTCTCCTTCTCTCTAACAAACCGAGGGCCAGCGTACATGCTGCAAAGCGAGGTCTCAGAGCTTCTCATACTCTGGTTTACCTTCCTCCCTCTGCCACATTGAGCTCCCTCTGGATGGTGCCAACACCCGGGCCCCACCTCACCTGGCAGAGGGCCCAACCAAGGGTGCTGGGTGCCTGTGGGAGGCACCTAACTTCCAGTGCTCACTAAGCACACCCATGGGACTGCTCGAGCTCCTGCGTCGCTTGCTGGGGCTTGTGACCTACAAAGGAAGCAGCAGCGGGGCGGGCTTCCCTTTGCAGTGCAGTGCCCGTGCTGCACATGGGCCTGGCTTATGCCGGAGGGCGTCCTGGGGAAGTGCAAATGGCTGCGATGGAAAGGTTGGCAGTTGGAGTCTACCTAAGGATGCTTCAGAAGGTCTGGTGGTGATCTCCATCAGAGGACCAGCCCCTGCGAGCCCTGGGGAGCACGCTTCTCTTCCTATACACACGGGGAGGCCAGGAGCTAGCATCAAGGA